GTAGTCAAATTTAATCCCATCTTTAAGAGTAGTTAAATGTTGTCTTGTGCTGATTTCTTTGGTTATTTTGTCTTTTAATTTTAAAATGAAAGAAAAATACCAATTTTTTCTTCAATTAAAATAAGTCTGTATGAAGTAGCATATGAACTTTCAGAGAAGATCTAAATGGTGAAAATTTAAAAGCTTCTTTGGTTTAAACAAAAATAGAGAGTTTCGGCAGCATTTTTGTTTATTGTTGCCTCTTTCCTGTAGATCTTTTAAAAATGTGTTTCAACTCACCAAAAGTATACTTCTGAAGCTGAAACTAAAAGTTTCCAAAATTAAGACTCCCAAGCCTATGTAGGGGTTAAGAAAACCTGGAACATACACACTAGAGACCGACTAAAAGTAGCAGTGTGATTATATTAGGAAAATGGAACATAGCAAAGTCTGTGCTATGAGGTAGAAAATGAGTTACCTCTTTAAAAAAAAATAAGGTTGCTTTCAAGTATGTAACAGTAATTTATGATGTCTCAAAAAAATTAAGTATTGGATCCCAAATTTCTGGTTTGTCAGTTATCTGGAAATTCATTCAAAAAAACTATTCACCTATGAATCTCAAAGTGGCATGCTTACCATCGGCACAGAGTGTGAAATGGGCTGTAAAGATTCTTTGTTTTAAACTTGTGAAAATTAGCCAATCTGATCAACTTATTGATTTATACCAGCTGTCTCTTATAAAGTGGTATAGATTTTAGCGTAATTTTGTAATTTACCAGAGTTTTAAAAATTTTATTCAAATTTCTCTTGTCCATTTGTACAGGCAATTAATGTTAATCATGTGTAAAAGCTACTGGCAAAGAGGGAAAGATGTCCACTTCTTGAGTGTGTGGTCAGAAGATAAAACATGGTCATGAGAGTTTATGGGGACTAGATATTCTGAAAGTCTTTTCATTATGGAAGACTAGCTATAAGATAGATCAGTGAAAGATACTTTATAATTGTGCTGTTCAGCTCATAGGAGAGTGAGAGAAGTCCCGAAGGGGCCAACCAGGACTACCACAAAAACAATGCCCAGGTGAAAAACTTGCAACTCAGTTGCTTTGGGGGAGTGGAGGAGGAGGAGAGAGAGAAGAGGAGGGGAGGAGAGGGGAGGGAAGGGGAGGGAAGGGAAAGGAGAGAATGAGACTGAATCTGGGTAGAACTGGAAGGTCCAATAGGAACGAACCACTCTTACAGAACAAAGCTGGAAGACCAGGGGTTTAGCTCCGTGGCGTAAGTGCCTGCCCAGCAAGCATGAGGATATGAGTTCAATCCTTGGTACAAAAAAAAAAAAAAAAAAGAACTAAAATAAAGTTTAGTTGGGCCATACCTTCAGGGAAAGTCAGAGCTGGAAAAGGGTCATCAAGAAAGAAATCAGATGAGCAAATATATCTGTTTTGCTCTATGTGAAGAAGAAATACCAATCATCATAATCATCTTTTGTCTTTGCAACTTATTAGCAATGATGTAGAACACAAATTTATGCTAATTATAGGCTTATGAAAACCCTAACCTTAAAATGTAGGTGACATTCCAGGTAGATGGAGCCTTCTGGTACCTGGTAGAGATAAGCATAAGTTCTCTCTGGAAGAGAGATTTCACAATCCATTGCCTTCAGAATTCCTACATGTTCAGCTAATATGAGGTGAATATTAGAATATATTTAAAGCAATCCAAAAATTAACAAAAATAGAATAACATAAGCCAGAATTCTTAATTCTTAACAGAAACAGTAAACAACAAATTTAGATCACCTATGTCTCATGACACGGGAGTGCTAAATACTGGATATAGAAAATACATGAGAAATACAGAAAGAAGTATATTCATCAAGGATTAGGAGATCATTTTGTCTGTGTGTCTGGGAATCAGGCAGTTTAAGATTTCAAGACTTGCATATTTTCAGAAATGTCGAAACATTGGAATCCTCACAGGACAAACACTGTGTACCAAGTAGCATAAATAAATCTACATTTAGGTCTATAAAGATGAAACTTTGGGATACCAGTGGCAAAAGAGGGAATATTAAAAACAGTAAGTATGCAAAGATTGTTCAGATGGACCAACTAGTTCTACAACTAGAAGAGTAAAGGACCAAAAAGAGAGATCTTTCTGACGAAGAACCAGATTAGGAGAGAAGAGGTGTCTTGCCTTAAAGGCACCAGGGTCTGCTATAGATTCCAGCAGTTAGAACAGCATGGTAGTAGACACAGACGACAAGGCCAGGGGAACAGAACAGAAGGGCCAGAGACCCAGGCACACAGGCAAACTTGGTTCATGACAGAATGAGCCCTGCAGGGCAGAGGGGAGAGGATAAACTGTTTGATAAATGATGCACTTACAAGATGATGCATGTGGAGAAACCACATGAAACCAGATGGTGACAGTTACAGAAACTCAGTTCCAGATATATTAAATATTGGGGGGGAAATATTGGAGTGTTTCCATCATGAACAGAAAGCGATAAAAGGAAAGAAAAGCCATAGAACTTTCAAAGAACCTAAAAATAATCGTTTGATTTGTGAATTTGATGCTGTTGGGGATCAAATGTAGGAGCTATGCATGCTAGGCAAGTGCTCTAACTGAGCTGTAAACACACACAATCTGTAAAGGAAATATTTTTATATTCAACATTAGAATAAATTTTCATCAAAGAAACATTAATAAATTTAAAAGGTAAAGCTACAGCTGGGAAAAGTGGCCTACAACATATACTGCTGGAAATATATTCATGTCTAAAAGACTAATAAATGTAGTAATCCCTTTTCCTACAAGTTTACTTTCTAACAGCACAACACACAGTCCATTATTGTCCTAAAATTTGAAATGAAAAATTCCAGAAATGATTCATAAGTTTTAAATTGCATGCCACTTCGAGAGCATGATAAGCTATTCCTGTGTCCCAGCAAGAATGTGAGTCTTCCTTTGTTCCAGAGTATCCACCCTGTATATACTACTACCTACTTTAGTCACTTAGTAGCCTCCTTGGTTATAAGATGGCTTGACATGGTGACCAAGTAATCTTTAAGTAATGGCATAAGACTCCATCATTCACTTGGTCTCTTCACGTGGGCATTATATCATCTCACATTATCCCAAGAAGGAGGATAAGTACAGTACATTAAGATACTTCAAGAGAAGAGTCCACTTTATTACAATCTATTGTAATAGATTGTATCACTATCCTAATAGTTATTATTTTATTCATCTTTTACTGTGCCTAATTATAAATTAAACTTTGATACTATCCAGGGTTTCTGGAATCTATTGGGGGTCCTGGAATATATCATCATTGGATAAGTAGGTATTAATATAAATAAAATAAAAATTGACAAAAGATGTGAACAAACATTTCAAATAAAACTTCAGTAACTAATGTACAGGAAAAATGAACAACCTTATTATTAATCAGAATACTACAAAATGAAACTGTAATACTAATCATTTTATATCTCTAGGAGAGGAAAAGTCTGGAATAATACCATTTGTGTGCGAGGGTATAGGGCTACAAACACTATCGTCTTCTCATAATCTCATTCCTTTTAAAGACACAGTAGATAAGTGCCACCTAACTTTTCTTAGTTCATATTATACAGAAGGAGAAGGTACTTTAACAAAATGTGTTATTCTGCTTTTTTAATCAAGCATCAAATTATTTGTAAGCAAGTTATTCTTTGGTCAAATGTTGAATAGTAAGATTGCTGTCTATTTTCAAGGGAAAAGACTTGGTAGCAGAGAAAAATCCTCAGTGTACCACATGACCCCAGTTTTACATATTACATTCTTTTTTCAGTCCCTATCCCTAAGATTAGATTATTCAAAAGAAAACTTCCAAGGAATAGTCTTTTAAATATAACCTGCTTTTATTTCTGTAACTGAAATTGACAAATTGGTCCAATAAAATGAAAAACTAGGGGCTGGGGATTTAGCTTAGTGGCAGAAGCACTGGCAAGCATGAGGTCGTGAATTCGATTACTGGTACCAAAAAAAGAAAGAAAGAAAGACAGACAGACAGACTAAACATAAGGTATCTTTTTATTGTACCATACCTGAGATAATTAACTTGTAAAGAGAAACATTTCTTTTTGCACAAACCGCTGAAATTCCTGTTGTTTAAAAGGAAGAGAAATTATGTCTCAACAACCAGTTGTCTGCTTGAAGAATTCCCAGACGGGTGTGGAGAAGAGTAATAAAGAAAAATATCCTAAACATACAAGTAACAGAAGTCTCATCTAGTAGAGTATAATCTAAACAGGAAGATTCTTTGGGGGCATGTGATAAAGACATTATAGTAAAATTTTTAAAAGGGAAACCCCTCAAAACCTAATCTTAATTCTGTCTACACTAACAACATTGCCCGGTTCTTTAAACTCTTACTTTCCAATAACTTCTGCTAACTAGTGAAGTATTATGTGTACATACCCTTGTTACCCAACAGCCTGTTCATTTAAAATTCTTAATGCTTTAGCTAGTCAAGTCAGTTCCCTAATTAGCCTGGAAAGGAAGCACTAGAAGTTATTTTGGGGAGAAATTTCCAAGCTTGGATTTGAATACTTGTCAAACTTTGTGACAGTAGACGAGGTGTGAATCAATATTTCTGCCTGGAAGTCGTGTAACCTCTCTGAGAGATTAATGTGGTTCCTGTTGGACTCTGTGTTCTCCATCAGCTAAGTATGTGCACTTGCCATTCATATTTTGTTTTCAGCTTGTTACACTGACAGAAAAATCTCTGCGGAATAAAGAACCTGTTTTCTGAGCATGTAAAGCTATGTCCTATTTGCATATAGATTTCCAGGATTTAAAGAGAACAGTGTCTTTCTTTGAAACTTTATGTGGAGAGTTCTTTTGTTTGCATGATTTTGTAAAACAGTATTGTCAGCTACTAAAGGGTCTCATATTATTGTGCTATTAATTTTGTTGATAAAATAACATAAGAAATAAAGAATTTTAAATTAACATACTGTATTTTCCCCAAAAAGGCTGAGTAAAACTGCTGACTTATGGCATACCTGCCTCTTTTTGGCATCACATAGTATGTTTATGGAAGAACATTGTAAGGCAATTCGGTTACATAGGTAAGTCTTTTCTACTTTGACCTGTTAGTTCAGCTACATGATTGTGCATCTACTGGTGTACACATGTTTGGCCAAGGATTGCAAGATGCAAAGGGATCTGAAGCCACCTAACCATCTTTTGTTTAAATTCATTGATTTTATACCATCTCACTGCATAGCCACTGGCTTTCCCCTTGAAATAAGACAGAATTCTTCAGCTAATGTTCACTTTATTTTGTACATGAGGTAATCCTCTTAACAAGCCAACAAAAACTTAATCTGATTTGTAATGGCAACAGTTGGAAACTGCAGAAGGCCCCACAGGACACAACTGCATAAATAAATAATGATACAACAATATGATTGAATGCAAATGCAAACATTTCAAGTTGTGTTGTGCAAGACCAGTTAATGACTTTGAGAATTTTCTTAGCATATTGTAAGTACAAAAAGCAGGCTATAGAACTGTTCCTAATTGCAACTTTACATGGGAGGGAAGATATTTAAAGGATATTCCCCAAATATTCATCACAGTTTTCTCAAATGGTAAGGTTTTTTGTCTTTTCATGCTTTCCAGTTCTTTGTCATTTTTCTTTAATTACATGCAAGTTAATAATTTTTACTTTTATCTAATGGCACAGACATTTAATAACTTCATTTTTCCAAACAGCACATATGTTCTAATAAATTTTCATAATTAGAAAAAATACTAAGAATCAGATACATTCATGCTTGTTACATTTTTATTATCACAGCAGTATCCCATATAATTTATAAGATTGTTAATTTTTAAATTGCATTTTATTGGCATATTTGTAGTACATTTATGATTGCATCCCTTGTGGGGTGTTAGGGCATTTACTTCGTTCAACTTAATTCTTTTTCAACACTTCCAATCCCTTCCTCCTCCCTAATTTTCTTTGTCCTCTTTCTATCTGCAGAAAATCTACTTCCATGTTTCCTATTAACTAACCCTTATTTTGGTCCATAATCTTCGAAGCCTATATGTCCATCAATAAAGGAATAAATAATGAAAATGTGAATATTTACACCCAATGGAGTACTGCTCTGCTTTTAGAAAAAATAAATTTGAGTCATTTGTAGAAAAATAGATGCACCTTGAGGCCACAATGTTAAGTGAAAAAATCAAACAAGGAAGGGCATCCTTGGGCTTGGTCAGTGGCTTAAGATGTATAATCTTAAGCACATGGTTTCTCTTGAAAGCAAAACCCAAAATGTAAGTAAAATTGTTAATTATGCATATCTTATTATATGTACCAAGTTATACTTAATTATTGAACATTTATTGTATGCTATGTCCTCAGCTCAGCACTCTACATGTTCTCAGGCTGACAGAAAACATAGTTATCCTCACTTTATAGATCAGAAAACTTGAGGCTTCAGTTGGTTAGTATCTTTACCCTCAAATAGGCAGCTGTGCAATGACAGAGCTCAACTTTGAACCAGGGTCTGCATCTCAAGACCAGACTTTCCAAAACTACCTTTCTTACCTTTCCCTTTAAAAACTTGTTATTAGCAATAATCCTACTTCTCATTGGAAGAGAAAGTAGATACAATTTTATTTGAGAGAAAAATTTTAAGCATTCTCAAAATTTAAATTGAGGGGCTGGGGATTTAGTTCAGCAGCATAAGCACCTGCCTTGCAAGCAGGCAGTGGTGAGTTCAATCCCTGGTACTGATAAAAAAGGAAAAAGACAAAAAAAAATTTAAATTGAAGCAGGTCATTCACACTTGCATTATATCTTCATCTGGTGATCAATCAAATATTGGATTGCATCTTACACATTTCGTGAACAACACAAAATGTGTGTTTCTCTCTGGGAAGAAAGAGGTATTCTTGGATTTTGTCAATGGCTATGTTTGTAAATACACAGTAAATGATTAAATGATTGATCTGTCTTCCTCCCTCTTCTCCACCATATGCATTCTCTTTTCAAAATTAGTTATCATAGTGTGCCAAACATGGCAACCCACTTGTGTTTCAAGGTGACCCTGAGCCTCCTAGAATATGCATCTGGAGGATATTTGGGAACAAAGGTGTGCAGAATCATTACTTGGGGACCTAAGTGAAAACACTGCTTGTGGGGCCAGCCAAGGCATCCATGAACTCTGGTGTTGCTTAGATTCAGTGACCTCTGTACGATATCCCTTGGAGGATACCATTCTCCCTGCCACCAATACATTTTAAGTTTCCAAATGTAACATCCCATTACTAACCCGCAGTCAGTCTGGTCTTGTGAGAAGTCACCTGCAACTAACTTAACTTCAGTCAAATCAAATGAAAACAATGTATTGAAATAATAAAAGTGTACTCAATTCTCACTGTCAGAAAGGCCTGTAGGCCCTAAGTATTTACCTAATATTTATCTTCTGGCTTGGCCCAGTGACACATACTTGTAATTGTGGCACTCTGGGAGGCCAAGGTAGAAAGATTCGAACTTCAAGCCCAGCCTTACAACTCTGCAACTTTGCAAGACCCTATCCGTAACTAAAAACAAGAAGGGCTAGGGGTGTAGCTCAGGGTGAAGGCCCTGGGTTCAATCTACAATACTTGAAAAATAGTGTTTTAAATGTATAGCTTTTGAGTAGGTATTTACGAGTTGCAGATTTTTAACCAAGGAATGAATGAATATAGCAAGAAAAAAAAAGTTCTTGATTGTTTTAGTTCACGCTCTTAGTGAAAGCACATGTATCCTCATCCTTCCCTTATGGGGGCGAGGAGAGAAAGCCGTGATACTACCACAGAATAACAGTGGTTTTTATTTTTATACTCTACACAATATACACTTGGAGTATTGTTTTCTGAGAGAAATTTTGTGTAGGAGTCTTAGAGATCTATTTGTATCTTAGCTCTCCCCTAATTGTTCATCCCTAGGCACATCACTGAACTATTCTGTATATTTTATCAACCTTAAAGTGAGACAATTGCTACTAGCCTGCTCTAATCCAAAAGCATGTTTATTGCAAGTAGGTAACGTATGCCAGAGGTAGACAAATATGAGGACTACCCCTTTGCTTTCTGTGCCCACTATTTGAGCCACTGGAAGTATCTAACAATGATTCCAAGTTTAATTAATGGTTTATCTCTGCTCAGCTCTTGTTTTCTTCCTCAAATTTTTTAATGCTCCTGTTTACATCTTTATTCTTTAGGTAAAAAAAGAACTTACCAAAAATTAATTAACAAGGTTTTTTATTCTGCCTCCTAATTCATGAAGATTAACTTAACCATTTGGCATAAGTCTCTGAGTTTTCTTTTTTTCATGAAAGTGTAAACCTGGGCTGAGTGGCACACACCTGTTATCTCAGCACTCTGGGAGGTTGACACAGCAGGATTGCAAGTTGGAGCCCCGCTTGAGCAACATAGCAGCTTACCAAGACCCCCTCTCTCGATATATAAAATAGAAAATAAGTAAATATAGAAGTGTGGTGATATAGCTCAGTGCAGACTTCTTTACTGAAAAAACAACGGAAGTGTAATGTATGTGTATATAATGCACAGACCATAACTGTGTGTGCGTATGTGTGTGCATGCCCATGTGGATGCTTTGCTGAGTTTTGTCAAGCATATGTGCTATATATGTATATATCGCTGTAGTTAAGATGAGGAACATTCCCATCATCAGGAAAAGTTTATGGGTAGCAGTGACTCCTTTGCCCATTTTTTGGTTTCTGTGTCCTGTAACAGGAAATCCTCTCTGTGACATTAGGACACTTTGTACAACCTCAGATCAGACTTTCTGAGCCCGCCATCTCTTACAGGTAATATGCATTCTGAGTGGGGGATAGTTGTTGGCTTCTGTTTTCTGCATGGTTTTTCCTGTTTGTTTTTTCTTCTGTCTCTCTTCTTACTGTTAACTGGTCCCGGTTTAGCTCCCTGAGACTCCACCGTCAGTGTCACCCAAAGGTCTTTAGGATTGAAGAAGCATTTAATGTTTTATCTTGAAGTTTCTCTTACCTTATTTGATCCCTGCCACCACTTGGAATTCATGTTCATGTAAATGCTTCCTGTTCTCCCCTAAATTCCCTAAAATATAATAGGAGTCTGAGTTATTGTCAGTTTTAGGATAGTCAACTCAAAAGCAAACCAGCCAATTTTTTTTATGAGGTGGAAGCAAATATTCTGCTTTTTGCCTTTTGTTCCCATCTTCGCAAACGTGATTCTTAATTAGTTCAAAATTGTCTTGCATTTCAAGTTAGTTACTTGTTATTTTTCAGTCTTCTGTTGATACAAAAGGTGATCATGAGTAACACTTTTGAAGTACTACTGGGTGCTGTCAGCCCTCACTTTATTTTTGTAAGAATGTTTGCACTGATACCTAAATGAGTACTACTGGGGTAATGTTTTAAATGAGTTTTTCTTATCAGAATAGTTCTTAAAGATATCTAAAGTGTGTTTTCCTGTGTATTTACACCTCTTCGATTTTACTTTATGAGCAGCAAGAGCAAACTGTCACTATTTGCTGTAAATTGAAGCTTTTAATAACTATGTCTGTTCTGCAGCATTTGTCAGCTTTGAATATTCTGTCAGTAGAAAATAAAAATAGCAGGGAAACTCAGCAGCAGTGACACTGAGAATTTATCTGCCCATGCAAGAGGAAGGTAAAAAATATAATCTTGAAGGATGAGCATTTGGCATTTTTTCCCTGCAAATAATGTAAATTTGAACTGGCTCTTCCTTGAATAAATTTCAGATGAAAAGTTGACAAAATAAATGAATGTTTCATCATTAAACACAGAACACCTTTTAACCTAGAAAAAAGAGAATGAAAAAGGTTACCTCAGATCATTGATTCAGTCATATATTCCTTGTTTGACATCAGTTTGAAAAATAAATAAATACATAAAATACATTTATAAATACATAAAAAACGTGATAGCTCAGTAGTAAAAACTTTGATGCATCCAGCATTTAAATTTTTAAACTATTTCATAGTAAAAATTCATGTGCAGAAGATCATCTTGGCTATGTGACAATAAAAAATTAATTTATCTAATAAAGATGATGTCAGTAAATCAAACCTAAACAAATTCCAGAGTCCACATTTTTGTTCATAAATTGTATGTGTCGGTTATAAATATTAAAACCATGAATGAAATATGTGTTATGAAAAATTCACTGCTTTCTTTGTCAAGATAAAATCATAAAGTTTTTCAGGACTTTTTTACATTTAGTTTGTTTAGACAGAGTTTATTGATTTGTTTCTCTTGATTTTCTTTTCTTCTCAACATATATTTGTCGTTATCTTTATCAATAGCAATGAACATCTCTGGAGCTCTTACTGCTCCTGTGTTTGACAACCATTCATAGTAGGTGAGCACAGTTTTGAGGGAACTAAAATGTATGAAGTGTGCTTAGTTAACAGTGTTACTGTACAGTCTTCATGGAAGCTTCTGTTTAGAAGAAAGGTGATTAGTAAGACCATCCAAGTCTCCTCATTCTCCTGTCACCCCCTTTCTGGGCCTGCAAATACTGTTTTAAAAATAATGGCACTGAGCTAAAGAGGTAGCCAGACTTTTAACCAAATGGATGTACCTACATTTTTAAATTTAGTTCTGTGTTAGCATTATTCCATCGTGTAAATTAAGACTGAGGGAAAGAGTGAATTCACTATTGTGAAAACACACATGCACAAGTTTACAAAGTATTCTACCACTGTGTCTTTCAGTGGTGAGAAAGGCATAATCCTAGACCTTCCTCTGGAAGGACTGGCATTTGAAAAGACATTTTAAAAGACGAGATGTGTTTTATTTGGTCCTTTAAACAGAAGTCCTAACGTAGTATTGAGTCCTATTTTTTGATGGCAGTGATAACTCGGAATTTACTTTGTCTCTGTGTGCGAATGTGGGCTTTTTTTTCTCCCTGAAATTAAATCTCCTTATGTCTCTTATAAAATTTCATTTCAGGAAAGATTAAAGAAGCGATTTCCAGTAAAATTGGAATGTTCATCATGCATTAATGATTTGTGAAGACAGTTGTATGTGTTTTTCTGCAGAGAATTTTCTTTCTAAATTCAGTGAAAAATTCATTTGTATTATGCCCCCTGCAAAAAATTTGCCTATAAATAACTCACAGGCAAGGTGATAGTTTTATTTTGATGTTTGCTGTTTCAATTGGCAAACTAGTGGTAACAAGAAACATTAATTCTTCTTTTTTTTTTTTCCTTTTATGGTCTGTCCATATAGAAAAATGCTTTGTTTTTTTTTTTTTTTTCTCCTTTTTTCTTTAATTCTCTTTCTCTTTTAGTAGCTCTGATTTTAAGTACCTCTTAGGATTTATAAAAGTGTGCCTTGAGTTTTTTTCAGGTACAGTAATTTAAAAAAAAAATACTGATAAGATTCTCCCCTTTGAATGTGTGTTTCCTTTTTAATTGTTAATTGATTTGGATAAATAAGTTATCCCAGTTGTTTGGATAATAAAGGAAAAGATGCCTATCTCAGAGAAAGGGAGTGATTTAATTCTCAGTTTCTGCCCATGCTGAGCATGTGGCTTCCTGATTCAGAAGGACCATTTCTAATCTGGGTTTTGTTAGGGTATTTGTCTTGCTTGCAAATGAATGACAGTGAAAACCTTTTTAAGTTTAAAGCTGCATTGATGGTTCAAACAATAAATTAAAGATAAAGATGAGATTGTTTAAATCTTTGGCTAAGAATGTTCACAAAATTCTCATTTTTTAAAAGAAATATTTAAATGGATTTTCCTTAACTATTTAAGAGTCTTAGAACAGAATCATTTTATAGCAAAACAAGTCTTGTATATGACAAAGTGGGCAGCGGGGAAGGAGTTTGGTAAGTGAAATCTAGAATGAAATCATCTGCCATAACTGAGGTTTCAGTTCTTTGTAATTTAGGCAAATTATTTAACATTTTTCAGCCTACTATTTGCTATTCCTAATCATTAAGTTCACCAAAACTATTAATTTTTTTAAAAAATACTTTGATTTTTAACAATAAAGTGGTAGATAAGGAACTCTTCCCTTCCCCGCCCCCCGCCAAAACTTCTGAATTTATTCCAGGGACATTTCATCTTTTTTTGGAAGATAATGCTTTTAAGTATGAGTGTACAATTGAATTTCCCATTTAATTTGAAAACAATGAGTTTTTGTTGTTTTAGCTATCTGCGTGTCTTCCTCCCTCAATCTTCTGCCCTTCCTGCCCCTTCATAAAAGTTACAGACTTGACTGATCTGAGATTGCAGTTTCCCTTCCACGTTTGTGTTCCATGCAGAGGCTCACTGCAAGCTGTGATGTTTCTTCACAGTGTGAAGAGGGAGACCATGCACAGCGCATTCATACAGTCAGCAAATCGGTCAACATGTGAGAGAGAAGGTTTAGGGATCCTGGGCAATTTAGCTATCTTTGAATAGTCATTGTTCCCACTTGTGTCAGTCGAGATATAAGGCCTGGCGTGATGGCACACCTATGTAATCCCAGCACTCTGGGAAGCTGAGTCAGGGAGATTGCAAATTGGAGGCCAGCCTATGCAATGTAACAATTTAGTCAGATCTTGTCTCAAAATTTTAAAAAAGGCTGAAGATATAGCCCAGCGCAAAGATCCTGGGTTCAAGAAAAGAGTTCTTTCTCTTGATCACTTAGTGATGCTTTTATTGTATAGCCTTTATGTTAATTAGCTTTTCTTGGCTATGACAAACCACCTGAGAATGATCAACTTGAAGAAAAGATTTATTTTTGCCTCATGGTTTCAGACAGTTCAGCTCATTGCATTGGGGTCTGTGGCAAGGCAGAAACATCATGACAGAAGTGCACACTGGAAGAAAGCTCCTTCCCTGATGGTGCCCAGGAGTCAGATACAAAAAGGAGGCAGAGGGTCCTGGTATTCCTTTCAAAGAGGATCCCCAGTGACCCCCTTCTTCCAACTAAGCCCCAACTCCTAGAGTTTCTGCCGCCAACTCACTGTGGCCCCAGGTGGGACCATGCCTCCATCAGCGTGGTCATCAGTGTTTGAGAACCATTTCAGATCTAAACCATAACACCTTTATTTTTTTATTTTTTATTTATTTAATTTTTTATTTTTTGGTACTGGGGATTGAACCCATGACCTCATGCTAATCCCTGGCTCAGCTAGAATTCATACAGTATGCAAACTCATCCATGCAAAATGTATAGTTCAGTGACGTTTTGTATACTCATAGTTAACACCCATCCTTGTAATCAATTATAGTACATTTATATCAGCCTTAGCTCATCGCTGGTACCCCTTTCCCTGAGCCTGGAAACCAGTGTTCTACTCTCTGTCCCTGTCTATTCAACTACAGGAGTCTCTTTGGTTCACAAATATAATTCTTCCCACAATCGTGGTCATAAACAGAACGGGACAAGAACAGCATCAAGTTTCCCCATAAGGTCAGCAGTGACCTTGACCACTGAATTTGATTTGGTTCTCATCCAGTTCTGTCTGTGACTAGAAATGTAGAAAAAATTAAGTTTATAAACCAAGGTACCCTTGGATATTTCACCTGAATGGAATCACACCACATTTTTTATTTTCCTCTTTTGTGTTGCTTAATGTTTTCAAGACTAGTCCACGTGTAGTATGCGTGAGTATTTCATTCTTTTTATGGCCATGTAATATCATGTCCATTGTATTGTTACGTCGTATTTCATTCATCCATTCATAATTGATGGGCATTTATGCCATTTCTGTTTCTCTGACTCATGTGAGTAATGTTGCTCTACTCACATACATTTGCATGAACATAGCATATTTGCATGAGCGTAGGCTTTCATTTCTCACAGGTGTACACCTAGGAGTGGAATTGCTGGGTCCTGTGGCAACCCCATTTGAGGAGCGATCAGTCTGTTTCTGTAGCCACCTTTATCTATTTCACATTCTCACCAGCAGTGCTTGAGCATTCTGGTATCTCCGCATGAAGATCATTTTACCATAGCCGTCCTAGGGAGGGTGAAATGACAGCCCAGTGTGATTTTGATCTGCATTTTCCTAGTAGCCCTAATGTTGAATGTCTTTTCAATGTGCTTGTGTCCATTTTAATGTTGTTAGTTACAGCACCTTACAAATGATGCTAAGATCACCTGACATGCCTTTTTTTTTTAAATTTTTTATTTTTACCGGCACCAGGCATCGAACTCACGACTGCCTGCTTGCAGGTGCTTATGCCGCTGAGCTAAATCCCCAGCTCCTACATGCCATTTCTGTGGTAACCCTTGAAGTCAGAAAGACCTCTGGACCCTGCCTTAGTGACATGTGGGATAGAAGAAGTAGTGAAAGGAGCACATTAAGTATATGAAATAAAGTCTTTGGGGAATTATGGCAGAAGCATGTGCTGGGGCCAACAGACCTAAAGGGGGAAGGGTTTTATTCAGCTGGAGAGAATAGCATTGATTGAGGAGGGGAAGAGATGAGGTCTCTGTTCATCTGCAACAGTTATGTTTCAGTCACTGAACCAAGGATGAAAAGGCTCTTGACTTTTGGTGAAACAGCTCCTGACTATGAACACTTCGGAATCATGATTCTTGACAGTACAAATGTCTTTAACCACAGTTCAACATAACGTTCTTCATCTAGTTTCAGCTGAAGGACACGGTTTCTCATGTCCAGTATGATGCAGGGAAGACTCACAGGACACTTGCATAAGAACTTGTGCCTTTCATCCAGAAACTGCTTTGTTGTTTTTGCTTGTGTTGTGGTGATGGTTTCTGTTTTTTAGGGCACATGAGTGTCTCTTTTAGGGGCAAATTTATATCGGGGGGGGGATTCCTTTAGAGAAATGTGATTTGTGATCTTTAGTTTATGAAATATAAAGTAGCCCTCTCAAAGTCCTTTGCGTAATGTGACATTTTTTCCCTTTGAAAAATGTGTTACTGTAAGCCTTAAATGAACTGTTTGAATGCCCAGTTTTTTTAAAAATAATTAATCTTTCTCTGTTTTCTTTTATGATGTCTTTGGAAGAAATGATCATTTCTGTGAAGCATGCAAATAAAACTACCTTTCATATTAAATCTTACATAGAGTACTTCTGCCTCTTAAAAATTCTCCAAGATAATCTTTAAAAAATGTACAGAAGTGACTTTCAATAACCTTGGCTAGCCTTATTTATGTTTGTTAAATTTGCAACTCTGACATGATATTTTAGAAAGCCATATAACATGATTTTTCCCATTGGTTTTGGTATTTGATAGCTTAAGGAAAAATAGATTTGTATGTAGAAATTTCCAAAACCACTCCAACATCTCGGCTTTGTTTTTTTTTCCCTAAGATATAGGAAGAAGGTTGCTGAAGAGACAGAGCTACTAACTATTGTCACATAATATCTTTAGTTTTATTTTCTTACAGAGAAAATTAGATCACAATACATGGTTTTCTGAAATGCTTTCAGGACAAAATAGGCCACAGCAAAAATGCCATAAAATAATCAAAGCTGAATTATTAGCACTGATATTTTCTTAAAATGTAATTTCTCCTCCCATAATTCATATTTTTACTTCTAAAAATCATTTTATTAATTTTCATTCCTAATGCCTCCTGCTCTGAATGTTGTGTCCCTAGTGTTCACCATAAGAAGTCCTAGTTCTTTTCTTCTTTCTGTAGCTCCAGGTAGAGTAGAAAACCACAGTACTGCTCTGTGGTAGGCAGTTAGTGCCACAGTCAGTGTTTCTGAGCTGTGTGAGCTTGGACAAGTGCTCTAACTTCTCTTGTGTCTTAGTGTCTTCCTTGGTAGCATATGAAATCTGTGATCACACACACACACACCCACACACACACACACACACACACACACATCCTTGGACTGCTGTGAAGAATAAATGAGAGGGTACACAGAAAGGATACCACCAGGTAAATCTTAAAGCAGTTACTGTTAGTATCACCATTAAATATATTTGAAAACTGAGGCACAAAAAAGTTGACCAATCTTCCCAGGGTCACGTAATTCCTAAAGATGGGACATCATGGACCATTTTACATATTGGTACCTATATGTGACTTGAGTGGTAATGAATATGATACAGAAGTTACCATTTTAATTATATACTTGTTCCTCATCTAAGTTTTATGTAATACCCAGTACATATATTTTAAGTAGCACACTCATTATGTGCTACTTAAAGCAATTGTCCACAAAATGCTAAGCTAACTAATTTAATGGATTCTTTAATGTGTGAGCATTATTCACATACCAGAGATAATTTTTTACACCTTCAAATATGCACTAGTAATCCACTCTGACCTAAAGGGTAGCCATCATTTTTTAAGGCAGTCACGGTGTTTCACTTCTCAGGAACAGATCATATCTGTTAACCTTTTCTATAAATTGTCACTTATGTGCTTGACATTGCCCAAACCAATCTGTATGATCTCCATAGCCAGGCATTATTGCGCTGACTTCTAACATTATATTGTGATTCTGAAATAGCTCTGTAGATTTGTAAACAACCATTAAAGTAGTATCTGTACATAACTATGCCATTTTATAAATCCCTTCACTGTAAAAATACTGATTGTTTTTGTTGTTTTTGTTGTTGTTATCTGCTATGTAAATTAAGCAGTGAACATTTGCACATACCAAATGGACTTTTTACCTTTTCACCTGCTAAAATTAACATTTTAATTAGAAATATTGATAAATTTTTATTGGAGCTTATTGAAAAATAAGTTAAAATTTTACTGTATATAAATTGTACTCCTAATAAATCAGACCATAAAAAATGGAAAGAAAGCACAAATATCTGAAATCTTGAGGTTTGATAAGAATTATATAAATTGAAATTAAAGAATTCACAAGGTTTTTGTTCAAGACAGTAGTTAGTTTTTTGGCTATAGGATTAAGATTAGTGCTTTTACATACTTTAAAATAGCCCTCTTAACTTGTTTTGACTGACTAGACTCTGTTCCATTCTGTATGATAGTATCAAGTTTGAGGGTATAGGCAACTACTTTGAAGGCAGTAAGATTCACTAAGATGCCCATTCTGGTTTGACTATTGTCTCCTTTGGAAGTCCTGTAATGTTTACAATGCCTAAGTTTTATTGGTCTTGTTCTCTACTGTTTTGTCCAACTTTATAATATCTAATGAGATAGACAATTCTTTTTAAGGAAACAAGAGACAACGTTGATAACCATTGTTGATAACCTTGTACTCTGTTCTACATCATGTGCTATGTCTATCCTTGGTTTTGACTGACAGCTTTGTTTTGCCATATTTGACTGTATTCTCTCCCCCCCAAAAAAGTAATAAGAACTAAGGAGTAATAAAATCCAAAATGTGTAAATTTTGTTGTAAAAAAGAGAGGGGAAAAACTAACAGATATAACAGCAAGTGTGTTTAGGGGTGTTAAATAGCTGACTATATTAATGTTTTTGGATCATTGAACACAGCTGTTTGCAGTCTCTCTGTTTGAATGTCCACTTTGTATTCTTTGATACTGTGATTTGAGCAACTATTTCCAAGATGATAATATTTAATCTATTAACAGGTGATTTCTTACTGGTATGTTTTTTTTTTTTTGTTTTTTGTTTTTTGTTTTTTTTTTTTTTTGTAGTTCTGTATTACGTGTACCCTTACACCGCTTTGTTTTGTTTTGTGTTTCTCTCTTTTTCCTCTTAAATAAAATTTAAAAAAAAATAGCCCTCTTAGAGCTAAGAATAATGCTGTAATTGTATGTAACTTTGATACCCCTCCAAAGCTGAGAAGGATGTTTCTTTGTTTACTTCCCATATGACAGCAGGCCATCCAGGGTATAATTAATGGCCAGAAAATTTAAGACAAAAGAAAGTAGCTTTTCCCTCAGCCTGCAGCCAACAGTTTGTGAAGAATCACTGACAGGAAAACTTTTGCAGACCCAAATTCTGTCACTGACAATAGGTTCCTATTGCTGACAAGACTCCAGTGGCAAAGGCCAGCATCGCTGTAGTTTCCATCTTTAAGAAGCCCTCCCTGGAACACACAGCAGCACGTTTTTATTTTTCTCCATCTTTTGTAGATTATTCTGTTCTGTTTTCTGAACATTTCCTTTTCCCCTATCTGCCTATCTTCATGTACCTCACTGCTTTTTAGTAACTTACTAAAGAGAAAGTGGCTATTGGTATTCTCCATTATCAGAGAATATATTAACTGATACGGCAAATCAAAATTATGCTACAATCAGACTGATGTTTATTATCAGTTCCATCCGTTTCCATGTCCAAGAAAAATCAAGAGTAGGATATTTTTGTAACCCTTATAGTGCTAAGTTTACAAATATTGGGTATACATTAGATTGTCACAGCCAAAAAGAGCCACGTAGAAGCCTTCTCAAATTAGAGCAGCCACTTTGCTGAGGCCTTTGTGCCAGGACATTTCTGTACTGCCCTCTCCGCCATGTAGACTAGGTTGATGATCCTTTACTGTACTTCGAGCCAAAGTGCAGGTCACAAGCCCCAACCTTCCACTTCCAGCCTGGACAGGAAGTCTTTTCTGGTGTGAATGCAAGCCCAGCTGCTCCTGGGTACATACCTATAATCTGTATCCCCAAGTGACTGTAGCAGAAGTTTATGAATTATCCAGGCTTTTGAACTAAAAGTTATATTCTGGGAAGGAGGGGGTTGGTGTTGATGGCAATCTGCCCTTAAAATTTCAGAGTTGAGTCCCTAAGGGGGCAGCATCCAGGCCTTGTCCTGTGATTGTCCTAATAAAATAGGATTTACAGCAACTGGTCCTTAGTATAGGTGTGGATGTGGGTTACACATCCCTTTCTAAATTCTTCAGGTTGCATCCAAGGAAAAAACTTGATGACATAAACAATTAGTCCATAGGTGGCAGATCGTCCTGTCAGATGACTGTTTCTCTTTGTGGTGTTAGAGCCTGACTTTCACAATGGCAGTGGGTGTGGAAGATACTAAAAGCCCTCCTGCCTAGTGTTATTGCTAAGAGAAAACCTTTTGTTTAGCTCCATCCTTTCAGTGCACAATCCAGTTGAGCACCTGTTTTACATTTATGATAGACCCTCAGATAAACAATTCAAAGGTACTTAAAGACGGGTACATTCCATGCCCATGTGAGTCTGCAGAGCAACAGGGAGACAAATCAAATAACATTATATATAGACGTATATAATAAACTGTAATGAGTTTGGGAAAACACAGGCCGTACTGTGAGAGCGTGTAGCAGATGTGACGGCTCAGCAAAGCCCTGAAAACTGGCAGGAGGTGTGCGTCACATGAAGGAATAAGAAACATAGGTGGTGTGCAGGAGGGAGACTTGACGGTGTTTCCATCAGAGAGAGACAAACCGGCAAAGCCCTTACAGCATCGGAAGGAAGAGCACACAGACGAGTTACTGTCCCGACAGTGCTCCCCAGTGACGTCAAAATGCTAGGCAGGGCTACCCATTCTGGGCCTGGCGGTGCCGTCAAGGGGCTGAGTTGTGATCAGCTTTGCTTTTTGAAGAGATCACCTTAGACTATATTCACGTGAGAGAGTGAAGGGGCCAGTAGCAGTGAAGAGACCAACTGCGAGGCTATTTCAGGGGCCTGCATGACAGACAGTAGGTGCTTCAATCCAAAAGCTTTTGAAGAGGTTAAGAAAGTTATTTAGGGGTGGGGATTTGGCCTTGTGATGATTAGGCAAAGCAATGATTTGGCAACAATAAGAGTGAAATAGCAAAGATGGCTTCTTAATGGATGGGGTGGGGTTCCCACTGTCAGTGAAACAAATGCAGAAACCAAAATTAAAAGTACAAGTCAAAGTTTCAAGTCCAGCATGCAAGTAATTTTTCATAACATCACCTGTCTTGCTCCTCTGACCCTTCTTTCCATATTTCTTCTTTTCTCTTACTGTTTCCAAATTTTCCTAACTTTATGGTTCAACTCAGCATGAAAGCTTTTGGGTGCCTGCAGGGAAATTTGAGTTTGTAACTTCACAGATACCCAGTGCTGCATCAGTTCCCATTCATAGGAAGTGGGATATTAAGCCTTTCTGAAATACATTGTCTCATTTGTGTTAAAAGCTTACAGCTTCTGAGCACATACTCTGTACTTGCTGGCGTGCTAAAACATGAGCTGGTAGGGTGGTTTCTAGGTGCTAGGCCGAGTGTCTGCGTGAATTGCAGTGTGGGTATAAATATTTCTGGGCACAGACAGGTTAGATGCAATAGGAAAAACTTGAACAAATTCTTAGGATGCCAATATTGTCACAGAGTCTCCATGCAGAATGAAGTTGTTTGACAAAGTGTTTCCCTGGTGATTTGGCTGCAGATGAAAATGTCTTTAGCAATAAAATTCCGTGCTTGAGTCACAGCCCTGTGCATTCATCAGTCAGCAAATGACATACCAAGGATCTTTTTTGCTGTATTAGTTAATATGTTGGCAGAAATATGTGAAACATTGTTATTCCCCTCAGTTTCTGTGCAGGGTTTTTTTTCCCCCTACCTTTAAACATGAATTTTGCCAAAATGTTTTGCCAGCTATAAATTTATTCCTACTCAATAGGATTGCATTAGAAAAGAGATAAAAAAAAAAAAGTTTTTTATCACAAAGGTTTCCTTAGTTACCAGCACTAAGAATTGGTAAGAACTACTGTTTTGCCCATCATTTGAAAATGATTTCAGGGAAATTTAAGGGTTGCTCAGGCCATTAGCGATGAAGCATATTTTAATTATAGTAATGGAGTAAGCTGCTTACAGCTTTATGGATTAATACATTGTTGGTTAATAGGTCAGAGTTACATGTGATTTTAATCACACTTCTTATTGTAGCCATAGTTTTATTAGTGATGGTGTTTTATAACTTAATAATTTATACATAATGAGTTTAGAAGTTCCATTTGCGTTGACATCAAAGGAATAATTTACCCCATACATTACCATTCATCAATAGGAACAAAGTCCTTCAGCAGCACAACTGAAGAACTGTCCGAAATCATTTTGCATTAAAGGATACTTATAATAATGAGATCACTTTACACTGCATTGTATTATTTCTGGTGATGCCAAGTCTGGCATCAGAAAGTCATTTTAAAGACCAGGAGGGAAGATGAATCACAATCATTTCACACATATTTAATAAGCATGAATTATCCAGTGAAGTCTACATCCATTCTCGAAGTTGTGAAAACCATAAGGTGTTTGAGTTAATGCTGTGTTGTAGAATATTCTCTTCTGTCGCTGTTCTGCCTGCCGCATGCTTCAGGCTTCTGTGCATGTCAGGAGCTGTTGTGGGGACTGAATTGAGCTGTGTTTATTTTGATGGCATATGTGTGATTCTTTAGCTTAGGGTTTGTAAGGCCCCTGTGCCTCCTTGCCTGTGGGCATCTGTTACCATTCCAGCTGGGGCAAGGTCTCACCCCTTCTCTAGCCAGCCTCTCAGAGCCTCCCCTCCCCCGTGAACCCCTCGGGCCTCTGTCCTGGCACCACAACAAGGCAGCTGTCCCTCGGGGAGTCACTCCTGTATAGCAAGCACTGCGTGAGTTTACATTTGTTATTTTCATAAGGATTTTATTTTAAATCATAAGCCCACTGGCATTTCAGTTCTGCAGCTTTTTTGAGGCCATGATGTGTGATAGTGTTGGAGAATCCTTAGGCAAGGAGATCTGCGTAGGATGCAAAGAGGTTAATAGGTGCCATCCAAAAAAATAACTGATATATTATTTGTGTTCCAGGGAGCTTGAGAAATGGTGGAGATTGTTGTACATCAAGATATCATCACTAAGGTGATCTAGTTTGCAGCATTTCCCAAACTTAATTGACCATAGAACCCTTCTTGGAAGAATATCTTACCCTTGGTTTCTTCCTGTATAAAATATATAAATATAAACCAAAGTATATTAAAATTATATAGGTACAGTCACTATTCTGTGTACTACACAAGTTTTGTCAAGATAGAACTATTACATCTGCCTATGATTTACAGGTGGGAAGGACCATAAAAAAGTTAGGATTGTTTTTTTCCTTTGATATTTTTTTAAAACAGAGAATGGAATACATGATATTGAGTCAGATTGGAAACTGTTCCTTGTGTTCCTTTCTTCCTATCCCTCTCCTCCATGCTTGGAAAATCACTTCTGTTTTTGAGGATCTCCCATTAATAAGTACAGAAAATTGTTATTAATCTGCAGTTACCTTTTCATTTTAAATTGCTGAGGTTACATTTGTGCCATCTTCTAAATGCCTGATACACTGGAACGCCTAGAATGGCTTTTCTTTATTGTAGCCCCATAACTATTTATATATTTCCTCTGTTTTCCACATTCAGTTTTTCTAGATTGGTGTAAGTTTTGTTTTTTGTTTTTAAGGGACTAAAAATTGAAGATCCATGTTTACAACTAATTCCCTGCCCCACAGATACATAGATACCGTAGCTAGACTCTGCCATGACGGCAAGCTTTTTAGAGACCAAGTGCAAAACTGCAGCCTAGAACCCACTTACTTTTTGCAAAGTGCCTACAGTGCAATTAAACCCAAATTCTGAGGTTTTAGTTTTAAAAAAAAAAAGCTCATAAATTAGCATCTCTTAAGAGAAAAGCGCAGTAAATATATGCTATAGATTCACCATTGCTGCCTAGAGTAAGCCTTTTCTGCGGTCCCAGCCTGCTGATTTTTTCCTCTTTAACTAATCTGTGCTCATACTAGCATGTTTGTAAATGTTTTCTAAATGAACAAACAGCTTTGAACACCATAAAATGCTGTTTCAATTTCATGTGGAGGCAAGATTGTATTTCTTCATGGTTTGATTCCATGCTGTCAATTCTGCTTATGTTGACATTGAGAACATAGAGCTCGGTGGTCTCAGTGAGCTAATGTATTGACAGTGTAATTTAACTGTAATGCTTTGGTTGCAGGAAATAAAAGAAACACATTTCGGGTGTAGCTCAGTGGTAGAGCACTTGCATGACATGCAGAAACCTCTGGGTTGGATCCCACCTATTACTTATCTTGGAAATAATAGAGAATACAAAGCAATGCTTGTCCTGATGAAGTTTGCATTCTAGTGGATGAGGCAAAAGTGAAATGGATGTATATTATGTCAGATGGTAATGGGGAGGCAAAATGAAAGAGATTGCTAACTCATTTGTGGTGGTCAAGTAAGGTCTTGGATTCCTGAAGAATGTACAGAAATCTGGCGGAGGAATGCTTTAAAAGTGGAATCAACAAGTGTGTATACCCAGGGGGAAGCAGGCCCTGCAGAGTGAGCTGGGGAACAATGTAAGAGGGGAGATCAAACAGGTGACATGGGACAGATGGTAGAAGGCTCTTGCACTGCTGTAATGCATCTGGCCCTTTGTTCACAATGAATCAGGAAGCCAGTGGCATATTTTGAGCTAGAGAGTGACAAGACCCTGCTAATCTTTTTAAAAATATCACTGCTTCAACAAAATCAAAGAGGAAGCAGAGAAAGTGATTTTGAGGCAGGTACAGTAATGCCGGCATGAGATGAAGTGGAAGCAGTGGAAAAAATGAGACTATAAAATGTCAGGTATTTATTTTGAAGGGGGGGCCTGGCAGAATTTGCCCATAAAGTGGAGGTAGGATGGCAGAGTGGAGTGGGGGATAACTTTGTAATTTAACTAAGCAACTTGGAGATCAAAATTAGCATTGCTGAAATGCAGGATCCTGGGAGTGGAACAAATTTGAAGGAAAAGGAAGTTTGGAAATGGTTGAGGGTGAGCTGTCTCTAGACACCCGAGGAGCTGTTCAATAGCCAATTGGTTGCAGGAGCTTGCAGACAGGATTGAGATCTTGGCTGGAGACAGAGCTGCGTTGACCCATAGAAGTCTGGAGGGTCATCTAGGAATTGTGTATAAAGAAAAAACATCTAGACACTCAGTCCCAAGGCACGAGCACCAAGGGGAGACAAGGAAAGCAACAGAAGGTGGTAGCCTAAGAACCAAGCAAATTAAGTACCTCAAGAGGATGGGCATCATCAGCTTTCTGATTGCTACTGGTGGTCAGAGTGAGTTAAGAGTGAGAGATGACCAGTGACGTTAAAAGGGCGCAGTCCAGAGCTGGCTTGGCGAAGTAATGGAGATTGAAGGTTTAACTGGAATGGGTTCCACACAGATAAGTCCTTGAATTTGTTCAAATGATGACAGAGAAATAACAATTGCTGAAGAAGAGTGTTGGGTTAAGGAATGATGTTCTTAAGATGACAGCATATTACTATACTAGAATATTTTATGTGACTATGGATGACTAGAAGGGGAAATGGAAAACAGATGATGTAAGACAGAGGGCAGTTGCTGTAGCAATGTTAACATATATTTAAAGGGGAAGGGGGGAAGTTCATTGGCTTGGTTTAGTTTTGAGGTCTTGCAGTGTTGCCCAGGCTTGTCTTTGAGTGTCTTTAGGCTCTCAAATGTGAAGTGGCATAGAAAAAATGAGTGAGATAAGAATGAGACAAAGGAGGAGGCCTTTAATATGGGCATGGGAGAGCTTCATGGGGCGGGGGGTACAGAGGCTCTCAAATGAGAACAAAGAAGTAGAGCTACTTTTTCAGGTTTGGTTGGAGGAGTTTGGGAAGTGGCAAAATGACATATTAACAGCTGATTCAAAGGAGCATCTGCCTGTGTAAAACAAGAGACAATGATTATCTGGAGGCTGGAGGTGGTGACTTGGGTGGTTGTGGAGTTTTGGGATTGGAAAGCGCTTGGCACATATGCAAAAGGGAACAGGAGGTTTATCTCTGGAATGTAAAGGAGAATGTTAATCTTGGAGAGATAAATTGTTTCTCTGGGTCTGGTACCAAGTTGGGAGGATGTAGCTAAACCCCAGGTTAGCAGAACCTATCAATGTTAAACTCCTGTACTCAAGCAATCTCCTGCCTTGGCCTCCTGAGTAACAGACTGTAGGCACATGAGACTGCAAGCCCATGTTACCATGACTGCATAGGATTGGAATCTTGAATGCAAGTAGAATGCTGGCCTTGGTCCAAGAAACTCAAACAGTTTAAGAAGAAGACAGAAGGTATGGCACCCACACAAGCAGGTTGGGAAACTGGTGTTTGGACCAGTTGGAAGTTTGCTTCAGTGCTTTAAGTTTTTGAATAAAACAAGATGCAGGCTTATCAGCCAACAAGGTAGATAAAGGAGGAAATATGGTATTACAGGTTTGAGGGGAAAGAAAGGAGCATGAAGTAGTTGACTAGCAGAGGAAGAAAGAATGGACTGTAGAAACGAGGTAGATGGCCAGAAATACAAAGGTCCTTGGGAATAATCCAATATAATTTCCTTTTTCTATTGCTGCACTAGGACAACTTGACCATGATACCCTCAAAAACAACCACTCTTCCATTGTTAAATGTGCCACAGTGTGTGGATCTGTTCACCTCTAACTGGACGTGAATGTTGTTTCAGTTTGGAGTCAATCATGAATCCAAGTCCAGTGAACATTCTTTTAATGAACATACATGTTCAATTCCCCAGGTGAATTCCTAGAAGTAGAATTAGAGGGTCATAGAATAGGTAAATATTTAACTTGGTAAGAAATCACCAGTCTTCTACAGTTGTTCTGCACAAATAACCAAGCAAATGCTTCACCTTTGTAGATAACAAATAAGCTGTAATAAGTGGAAAATGCAGTAAAGTAGACTTATACTCGCAAATCATAGAACTTTGCAATCTTAGGTCACGGAACTTCTGTGTACTCAATACCTCCCAAAGGCTACACAAAGGAAGTAAATTAGATCGTCTGTAATAAGTTCGCTTTCAAGTCCCACATTCTTTGATTTTTGGTGGAATTTTGCCACATAATAAACAGACAGCCACATCTCTACACATTTTTATTCCATGGGAATTGAATGCCATATAATGTACTGGACACAATAAGGAAATCTAGAACATAAGGTACAGGACAAAAGGATTAGGCGTATACACAGCACACAGTTATGTGTGAAAATATTTAAAAGAGAAGTGTAAGGTGATGCAGAACTCCACTCAAAATTTTATATAAAAAGTCGTATACCTATGAATAGCTCCCATCTGCTTTAATTATAACAAATACTGGGAGATGCAATTAGATGGCTTAAGAAAAATTGCTTACACATTCACTGTCTGGATTATTGTGACTTGTTTTGAAACCAGAGTAGCAAAGCATATGTCTTTGTTACTTTTGTAGAACTACTAGCCAAACATTTTACTCACCTGGGCTCTCTACAGCCAAGAGCAAAGAAAATTCCAGCAGACAGCAACAGTCCCATTGCCATGTGGAACACGCCATTCTCTCTCGGTTAGCTTGCTGGAGGGTACACTTGGCAAAGACTGAGGAGCCATGGTTCACTTGGTTGAAGTCATCTGATAAATAGAGATTGCTGGGAAAGACAGATTGAACATCAGTGTGAGTTCCCAGACTACTGTAATTTATCTTTCAGGTTAATGAGAATTAGGGGGAAGAGAAAACCGGTTGGAGATATCCCTGAACCAGGTGGTGATCAGTGATAGAGGTAGATGTCCAATTGATTTTAGGCACCCTTCAAAGCCCTGGGTTAGATCCTGATCCACCAGGAAAACACCCATGCTCTGTGCTTGTCAACAGCTTTTTCCAAAGGGGCTCTGAAGAGCATAAGCATGGGAAGGCATACATAGACCTATGCGGTCTTGGAGTTGAGACATTAGAGGTCCGTTAGGTCACACTTCTGTCTCATGCCGATTCCTTTCCACCACATGCCTGACCCAGTTGTCATCTGGCCTCTGCTTTAATATCTCCAACTGGCCTGGGACTTGCTACCTTAGCACATTCACCATAGGACGCATAGCTTTTCAGTACATTCCATGATGGCACAACCTTCCCAAACCCTCTGTGTGTCACCTTTATTCCATGGCCAGAGGAAAGAATTTAGAACAAAAGCATATAGCTAGCACAGGGTAGCAGCTCTAATTGGTTTTGTTTCTCTTTCTCTAAGAGGATAAATAGTAGACATCATAACATTTTTTTTTTCTATTGGAAGCAGAAATAAACTCTGCTTCCCTTCCTGGTGCCCACCCTGACTTTAAGTCCTCCTGACTGACATCCCATTGGTCAATAAATATGAAGCCTGTTTCACATTTGGCATATCCTCTATTCCAAGCCCATTCACCAGTGTAAAGCACTGATTCTTACCCAGGACAGTTTACCCATCACGGTACATGTGTCCCTTTCTGGGGACATTTCAGTTGCCACAACTAGTGTGGGTGCTATTGATATCCTTTAAGTATGGGCAAGGGGTGTTGTTGCACATTTTGCCATGCACAAGACAACCCCTGTGATAAAGAATTACTCGACCTACAGTGCCAGGGTCGGGAAACTGGGCCAAAGCTATAGTTAGTACTATCTGATGGTGGCCAACATAGTGGTGGCATTTTTATTATTAGTACCTAGGAAAATTGAAAGAGCTTTAATGCTATAAACAGAAGATTTTATGCGTTTCTGTTCCTCATCAAGGACTGAGCAGTTTGCTGTAGGAAGGATTCATTGCAAACTTAGCTGATGGAAGGGGTACACTATAATGCATAAAAGTGCTATCTGCTAATTTTATTTATACTTATTAGTATATGTTGTGATATTAAGCATTTATTATGAGGAATTGGTACATATACGTATCACAACTTGATCCTTCTTATCTGCTGAGTTTAAACCATCATGGACCTCATGAAATGGTGGATACCTTCAAATTGTAAACAGGAGCTTAGTTTTGAAAGGGCTCCCAGGATTTTTGAGACACTTCCAACTCATTACTACTAATGCAAAAATGTATATGTTGCCTCCTTAAATGAGAAGACCCAGAGAGTTTTAAAGACTTTGGAGTTTGAATAGTTTATCCATACAATTTCACAAAACAACCTATTTTGCATAGTTGATCCAGAGTTCTAAACCTGGTGTCTTGTTTATTGTTTGGTAAGGATTTTGTTTGGCTGGGAATATTTCTGTGTTGGGGAGACCAAAGAAAACAGTTTTGAAAGAGAATCCGAAGAATTTTCCCCATGGTCTTCAAAGACAAAAGTAATGTCTGATACTGATGCACATTTTGATGCATAATAGTGACGTGACAGACAAAGTGTTGAATAATTTCCCACACACCCTTTTGGGGCTGGAACCCATGCTGAGAGAGGATGTGAAAGAGCTTGTCAGTGGAGGCAGGAGCTAATTAGATGGGCTCCAGTGCTTTTCTGGGCTGATTTCAGAAGTGCATGCCCTGTCACATTTGCCTGGAATGTCAATTCAGGTCCTTTCCCCCATCACTTTGACTCAAGCCAATCCAAACGTGACAGTGGCTTCTGGGGTGCTTTCAGAGCTGTGTGCACACTATTAGGGATTGGGGCAGCAACAGAAGTGTGCATTCTTTAGGGGCACCAAAGTCAAGGTCAAGGAAGACGCCTTGGGCTCACAGTAAATCATAAATCATGACTCATTGAAATAAGACAGGCAGGGTTATCTTGGCCGTATGTATAAGACTTTGGGATGTGGAATTGTCTCACCAGGTCAGTTTCACTTTCTCTTTTCTGGATTGTGAGCATAGTTCTTAAATGACCATTTTGGCTTTTAAAAGGAAATGGAAAAACTAAAAGAAAAAGAAAGGAGGGAGCTGTTGTTAGTGGTGGAGATGGTGGCCACCTGGAACTCCAGGGGTTCCAGAGCATAGGATGGGAAGCCCCTTCAGTCGTGTGATTTTTTTATTTTAATGGTGAAAACCTCCCACAATGTTTCCTATTACTGTGAACCTCGTGGAAAGCCACCTAAGCAGATCCCAAGGGTGACTTCCCTGGCAGGGGCACTCTGCAGTGTGACTGGGCCCCTGAATCCTTCCTTCCAAAGTCCTGCTTTAAACTAGCTATTCTCATGCCTCAGCCTCCGGTGGAACATGACGCTTTTCTCTGTGATGGTCAAATTAATTACTGGAAATGGTTTGCTGCCAGACAGTTGGATGCTAATTTTGAGTCAAACTGTGGGACCCAGAAAGGCAAATGTGTTGGTATTTGTTGGTGATGATTAAAATGAAAAATAATGAAATAGGAAAAAAAATTTTTTTTCATGGTAGACACTAATGCAGATTTGGTGAGGACACTTTGCCAGAGTTGACTGTGACCTGAGTTAAAGCTACTCAAACTGTGGTGTGGGCAAAAAGATTAGAAAAGTGATTAATTTATTGGTGTGCTTCCTGGTAGGCAGGAGACTGAGTTTGAGATATTTCAACACAAAGCAAAAAACTGGCAATGATTAAACATAAGGTGATATTTGGGGTGATGTTCTCTGAATGTCTAAGTTTGATTGTCTAGTTTAACTCCATCATGTGTCCCAGGTTTATGATACCTTTTTTACCAAGTTCCACTCAGGAGGAATTATTTTCAGTTAAATGGATCATGACCACTGCTGAAGCCACCATGAAATGCACCTGGAGTGTGAGGCCACGCGGAGAACAAAGCTACCCAGCTCACAAACGGATGGCTCCGGAGTTAGCCAGGCTAACGCTGGCTTTGGGTATCATTTTGTTCTTTCCCATCAACTGTTACATTAATGAGGTCTAGAGATAAAGGCGGGTATAGAGTTCATGGAGCTGTATGATGCCAGAAGATGAGTGTCACAAGCTGTCAGTGTGACAAAGAGTCTGGCAGAACCCTGATCATTGGATGGAATTATAATGTGTTGTGAAAGTGTTAATAAAGAAAAGAAAAAACAAGCATGAAAGGGATCAAGTATTAGTGGAAAAGCAGAAAATTTAAAAAGGATAAGAAGTTATGTAATAATTTCACATGGATACAGGAACAGACTGGCTTTCTTTCCAGTGTTTGAGATAGGCAAGACCCTAAGCATATACCCTAGAATACTGCTTAATGAATAAGTAAACAAAGACACTCATAAGTGCTTTTCTGAGGATGACTTTTTTTTCAAGTAGGTGTTTTCTCAAAGTTAAATAATTTATACCTTGTTGCTAAATGGCTGATATAAAATAGCAATATAAAGAATTTGTGTCATCAGTGAAGTCTCTCTTGTAGACATAGGGAGCTTTACTTGGGGTGCACAGGGCAGTTCTATGTGAGAGTCATGGCCCACTCAGCACAGGACACTTCTTTATGAGGATTTAACCAGACTCATATAGGTGCATGGACTTTGGTGTTTCACAGTGGAACAGGTTACAGTTAAGAAAGTGCAGATGTTTGTGAGAAACTACTGTTTCAAAGTCTCTGAAATTTTTTCTTTAAGTACACTTAAGGCTGAATTTCCTAATATTTTCTCTTGCTTCCAAGGTGGGCATGCAAGACAAGACTAATAGTTTAGTGGAGTTATTGAATCTCATTTCTCTTTTTATGCTATACATTTTTTTTTGTTTTTGATAATTTAAAATTTTATCATGCAGCCATTCAGTGACCTCTGTTCTTCCTCTAATGATCACGAGAGGAAAGTCCTGGGTGTTTAAGTAGCAGCCTCAGAGCCTCCAGTGTGGCCTAGTTCTGTGAAGGGAAGCTGTGCCATAGCAAAGCCCCACTGTGGAGAGAAGTAGGCAGTGTGGCTCTGTTGAGAGGACAAGGACCAAGCAGGCACTGTAGACACCTGGATACTCACCTGCCCTCCAGCCCAGCAACCTCCAGGCTCCATCTGCTCACTTGTCAGAAATGCAGAACCTCAGAGACCACCTCAGCTCCCTGAATCAGAATCTACACATGCAAGTTTGAGAAGCTTTATGTGTCTGTCAAGCTTCTGAGTGAACCCTCCCGAGGGCAATGGGACACTCAGAGTGCCACTTCCTGAGAGCAGAGTGATCAGTGACTGACCAAGACTGAACCACTGGGGCATTCCTGGGGCACTGGAAATAATCAGGATCTGTGAAAATGACCCAAACCCAGCAGAAGCTGTAAAACTGAAATATCTGTTTGTATGGAATTTGTTTCTTCTGGAGATGCGGAAGAGTTGTTCTCTTTGGAGAAATTTGTTATAGATCGTTTGAAAGGTCAAACAATAAGGTTCAGTTAATAAAAAGGAAGAAGGTGAGACTTAGTTATCAACAGACTTTCTCAAGGCCCTCATTTTGTGCTAAACTTTAAGAAAATCTGTTTCGCGCCCCCCCCCGTAGTGTCTTGTTTTTAAAACATGTCCAAAGTGAAAAATCACAGAACAAATACACAGCTTGCATCAGTTAGTGCCTTTTCTTCCTGTCTTGTATACTGTTTATTAAATGCATAAAATTTTATAGGCCATAGAGTAAAGAATGTACAATTTTTGCTACTTATTTTGTAACACATTCCGTTGGAACTTAACTCAGAGTTGTTACATGGTCAGTGAAGTTCAGGCTTATACTGAAAAAGAAAAGTGCTATTTATATATGAACATAAATTGATTTTAAGGTAAACTGAATCTATGAAGTGTGTAAATACATTTGTGTACATAATGATACACTGATGTGAAGGAAGATTGTTACCTACTTTCATTTTTCATAATGTGCTGATTCTTTACAAACAGTTAAAGCAAGTGGACGTATTGCAAAAATGTTCATAACTGACCACCCTAACTTCTAGAACTATATTCTCCAAACTGTTAATTAATGTAAAGTCAGCGTCATATATTGAGATGTTTAATCAACTGGCAGATTGTTGTCAATAAATATGTGTCTTAAGTGGTTTGTAATGGACAGGCTAATGAAGTACCCTGTGTGAGTGTCAGAGCTATTGGGAAAAATCTCTCTTCCTTCTGGGCGGCTTGCCATATACGATCAGTCTTCCTTGGATTCAGACAGGATGCCCTTCAGCACTCTGCTTTCACCTCTGGATAGAGTATCCAGAGAATCAGAGAGTAAATTTCATTCTCTATCAGCAGATAGTTAAGCAACATGAGGGAAGGATTGGTTACTAGGAGAGCAGTAATATTGCCTATAATAATAGTGACTAGGTTTCTTCAACAGTTACTACATGCTAGAGCCTTGCTTAGTGCTCTAACTTACTTGTTTCACTTAACTTACTGAGCAGCCCCATGAGAAGGTCAGTTTCTCAAACCCTCAGATCCTTTATGTTTCAAATACTGCCACGACAGTCCTGAAATAGATTGTATAAGTAATATGACCTACCAAGTGATGCTTAAAGAGTCATTATAATTCCCTAGCTACCGGGTAATGGAGAAATTAAAAAAATAGTGTTTATTATTTAGTACATTCAGTATATAAATGCTGATCCTGACTATCCTTCAGGATGGGAAGTAGCAGACATTTTTGTCTGTGCATAAAAATTCCATGAATTGGATGATTCTAATGACAGACTGATAGTGATACACTTGTATAAAGAAGCAAATAATTCTTAGAAAAGCTGCAAATACAAAGCAGTCTTATTTTGATTTGTACAAAAGTCACATTTTTGGAATGTTTAGCTTACTCTGATACTGGTGGAAAGTGCTTTGTGTCCACATGTAAAACTGACTCGGGTTCTAGAACCCTGGAATAGTAGGGTTTTCACCTTGCTGACCATCTAGTGGGACACTGAGAGGTCATGCAGCCAAGGAGACCATCCTTAGCATTGCCAGTGTGACTTGCTGTTAAACAACATCTGACATCCCAAACCTGAATCTGGAATACATCCAGACGGCCTCCCCACAATCATGAGGACAAGTATAGATAGCCCTGGCACATCCTGGAAAGTGTACATGCAGCGGGTCACGGCTACCTCATGAGATAAGTGTACTCCAATTTTCATCCCTATTTTTTCACATGTGGTGACTGATACACTTCAGTAGCTTCCTGAATGCACAAAGGCAGGAAGTTGCAGAGTTGAGATGCAGACTCTGGCCTGCATTTAGCCCACTGTGGCATCCTTCCTTGTACATCAAGACAGGCCTCGGGCTGGGGATTTAGCTCAGCGGCATAAGCGCCTGCCTTGCAAGCAGGCAGTCGTGAGTTCGATCCCTGGTACCGATAAAAACGAAAAAGACAAAAAAAAAAAAAAAAAAAAAAAAGACAGGCCTGGGTGGGCTGGATGGACCATGGTTGACTAGAATGTAGATCACATCTGCACTTCCTTCTGCTGTGCTCAAGAGCTTTGTGTATGTTTCCCAACTTTCCCATGCTTGCAGGACTACTGTGACTGAACCCTTTTCACCAATGATGAAGATTAATCTTAGCCCCTTCTCCAAGTTACCCAGCCTAGGAAGGGAAGACCTGAGTTCCAAACCTCAGCTGGAATTCCTTCAAAGTGCAAGCTCTTGCCTTGGCCCCTTAGAGGAGAGAGGAGGAGAGAGGGTATACATTATGTGGATTCCTCTCACCCACCCCTTCTGATCTCCCTGCACTTTCTCCCTCCTTACCTGATAAGCAGGGTAGCAAAGTAGTTCATTGGACAAATGAGGACAATCGAGAGCGGAAGAGGAACTAATATACCAGGACATTGATGTGCATCCCTCAGGGATGCCCACTTCAGAGCTGTAAAGAAGAGGGTATTTGATGACCAGTTCATAGTTGAGGCTCATACACAGAGCTAAAAAGGTGCTGTGCGATTATTGGTCAAATACTACTTTGTGACTGTTGTGGTTTGCTCTAGAATGTCCCCCAAAGTCTCATGAGCTCAGCAGCATGGTTCTGGAGGGTGATTAGATCATGGGGATATTGCACTCATTGAGAGTTTCATTGTCTACTGAGCTCAGCAATTGAGTAGGCCATTTAGACACTGGTCAGAAGAAGAGGATCACTGAGGATGGGACATGGAACAATGTATCAGTTCCTCCCTTCTCTCTCTCCTTCCTGGCCACCATGAGGTGAGCAGCTTTATTCTACCAAGGCCCTTCCACCATGTCCTTCCTGCCTCATAGCCAGCCAAACATGGACTGAGTTCCCTTAAGACAAGCAACCAAAATATACCACTCCTCCTTTAAGTTGTGGGTGTTGAATGTTTTGTCCTAGCCACAAGAACATGACTAAGACAGCCACCCTCAGTGACTAGGTGACCATCTTGAAGAAAACTGTAACTATCCTTTTGAGATGTCTCCCACTCTTTTTGTGAGGCAGGGACAGAGAACCCTGAATATTGCTTCTTAGGATAATGAGAATAAGGGGAGAGGGTCATTGGGAGATGCCAGAACCCCACTAGGAGAAGAGCTTTTAGAGTTAGAGCCTAGGAGTCAGCCTGCTCCCCACATCCAGCCTCGCCCACTTCCTTTTAGCGCAAGACCATAGGAGCCTTCCTTCAGCTATATGTAAAGCTTATCCCGAAAGAGTGTAAGTGACTAATTCTGCCTGAATTTCCCCAAGCCTCCGCACTTGTCTTTGTTTATTATATTAATAAATACTATGCGGCTAATGTTCCCATCTGGCAGGAAGGAGGAAAGAGCATGAAAATGAAGCTGCGGTTACATCACTCCAATACTAATGAAGGTGATACCCGCTTGGCATGGTAGAAAGGTGGGTCTTTATTTTAGAGTTCTTAATTAAGAACTGCCAAGTGACTAATATTAATTAGGAAGCCAGCTGTATCCTTCAGTTTCATGGTATATTTCTTCTTGAGAACCTGTGAAGGGAGTAAGTCTGAGGCTCTTTTAATCAATCAGCCCTTGAGCAATTATCCGTTAAGTATACTTTGTGTGTGGGGGACCAGGCTGTGTGGACAGAGATTTATAAGATACTGTCTTTGCGTGCAAGATGTGTGCCTAATTGAGGAGTGCGCACAAAGTGAACCAGTATTTCTGACAGTGAATCAGACTGTCCTCTGGATAAAAGAGGCGGGCATAAGAGAAGTGTGACACAGGGGAGAGAGATTTTTCAAACAACACAGGTGTTTTTCCTATGTCCTCCAGGTTGCAATGATAAGCCCCAGTCAATATGGGAGGTGTCTTATCCTTGGGCTTGTTGGAGCACACTCAGCAAATTGAAAAAGTGGATTTCAGAGGAGGGATTGAGGATCCTGGACAGAAGAAATGCTTCAGGAGACTGGTACTGGATCTAAGGAGAAGTAAAAGTTCTAGTCATAGAAGAAAAATGGGCAGCCCCCAGAGACAGAAGAAACGAGGTCAGGCTAGTGATGGCATGATACTGGAAAGTCCACTTCCTCTCTGGAATGCTAGGGGTCTCTGCCTACTATTACTGATTCTGCTGATGCTGCTCATATCTCTACGCGCGTGCACGTGTGTACACACACACACACACACACACACACACACACACACACAGAGCTGGGCCTCCTACAGAGACCTGGCACCCTGATTTGGGGAATTAGTGCACTATATATGCCTGACATGATCATTCAGCTTGCTAATAAAATTATATACCTAGAACAAAGAGCTTACTAGGAAGCACCTCCAAACCCAATCCACTTTCCTGCATTCTAAGTCTCCTCTGACATTGATATGTTAATACCTTTTCTGAATTCTCCTTTTCTGAATCCCTAGCAACTGAAGAAAGATCATAGGAAGATTAAGTTGTAATGTCCTCTTTTTAAATTTTACTTTCCCTTACAGAGAGCTTTACTGATCCACAGAGTCCGCTGCACCCCCTGCCAAGGCTTGACTTATAGTTTAATGTGCAGTTCTCTCTGAATTTTATACTTAGACATTTAGTTCGTGGAGTTGTATCTGTGAATTGCAGTGTGCTAAACCACCTGCCGGGGTGCCCTGGCTGTTTTTCTGCAAGGCTCACATCTAGGAACCTGTGATTCTTCAAGTGCCTTTACAAACTTCTTTGATTAGTGTTTGTTTGAAATCATCCAACAAGAACTCATGGTCAAGAGTTCTAAGCCTTGAGCTCAGGACATGGGAACTCACAAAGCCCTAATCCGTGGATTTAGACTCAGGGAGCTGAGTTTGATATGATTTTCTCTCCAAAGGCTGTGCCACTGAATTTCTTTTTTCCATTGCTCTTCTCACGAGCACTAGATTTTCTTCAGGTAGCAGAGGTAAGGGTGTGGGTGTGTGTGTAAGTATAGACCCATTCTAGCCCTAATTTATAACCTTTTGCTATGGAAACTAATTAAGACATTAGAGCAATCTCTTCCCAACTAGACATTGTTTAACTAAGCATTTTCTGTATCCTCTTTGCTGCTTTAGGTACAATCAATAGTTGTTGCTTTTGCTGTGTTGCCCCAGTGCCATTGCTTTGAAATCCCTGAGTATTACTTGTAAGCAGAGTCCCATTTAAAAAAGAAGCAAGAAAAAAAAACTCAATATTGGATCTTGCTTTTCTTTTTATAATTTGGAGGTGTTATTATCACCAATGTAGAATTAAATTTATTCAGTAGCCAGTACGAATGATATCTATACAAACAACAAGCAAAATAAAGAGAAGTAAATACTAAAGCACTACTCTCCAAAGCAGGGATTTTCCCTGTCCAAATAGGACTTGTTTTGTTTTTATATATTATAATATGTTTCCTTAAGTCATCCCGAAGTGTGCTTTTAAAAGAAACTTTATAGGTGTCTTTCAAATGATAAATTAGTCTCACTTGTCTGTAATGAAAATACGTTCATAGTAATTAAAATTTACAGCCTGTGTCTGTACACCTGCAGCCCTCTCACAGAATGTCTTTGGGAATCTGGAGGGTGATGCTGTATGGCTGGGACCCTGGCAGCATGAGGGAAACAGAGCCATGTGTCCCTAGTTCTAATATTTAGAAAAGGTCTCAGGTTTAACTCTACTTCTAAGCTTTGCTTATGCCAGGATATTTCAGCTTCATGGCTACTCATGTTTGGGTCCTGTCTTAGTCTTTTTTCAGTTGCTGATACCACAGTATCACAGACTGGTACAAAGAAAAGAGGTTTATTTTGGCTTATAGTTCAGTCCAAAGTTGAGGTGCTGACCCTGTTGATGACCCTCTTGCTGTCTGAGCCCTGAAATGGTATAAAGGATCAGAGGGTAAGAGAGTCATCAAATTGGCTTTTGTAGCAGACCCCCTTTCTGCATAATGCACTCATCCATGAATCATATGAATTAATTAAATCCATTCATAAAGGCTGAATCCTAATTACCTCTTAAAGGTACCACGTCATCCCACATCTTAATAGTTTATAATGGGGATTAAATCTCAGCATGGGTTTTGGAAGTAACAAAGTGTGTTCGAACCATAAGCCATGCAGATAATTCTTTGTTGTGGGAGACTGCCCTGTGCATTTTAGGATGTGTAGCTGCATCTCTGGCTCTGCCTACACTTCTGTGGGTGACTACTACATAAAATACCACTCTAGACATTGCCAGCTATCCATTGGCAGGGGGCAGAATTATGTTACATACTCTTATTTTTATTCTTGATCATAAGTTGTTACTCTATTAGGTGTGCATATTTAAAATATGCATATTATAGTTTTTGAAACTTTTTTTTTAGCCTTCTTTAAATGGCTTGTTACACCCCTTTCCCTAACAGCAAAGGGGCTCTGGTCTATGCTTAGCTCTGCTGGGCCACACTTCAGGCCTGGCAGTAGGAGTTAGTTAGTGATCCTACTGACGTCAGTTCCCTAAGGAATCTCACAGATAAATGAAAGATTGGACCCTCCTGAGCCTTCCCATACATTTCTGACTTACATGCAGGTTTGATTCCTGCCAGCAAAACCCAGTGAGTAATTGTGTGATGTGTCATCCACCCTTTCCTTTAACAGAGGCCTACATTTTGTGAGATACTCTTGCTTTCAACATACTGTGTCTTGTAATTGTCACAGAAATCCAATGATGCCAGCTAATACTACTCATCCCTCTATTTTTCAGTATGAAAAACTAAAGTTAAGTTAAATAACTTCCCTAAAGCCACACTGCTACAGCTGCTATTCTGCTAAAACAGAATTTAATGGTAGTCTGTCCCCAAACAGATAAATGTTGAAACTTGTCACTACACTATGATTATTACTGTGTTTTTAAAAGTACATTGGGTGAAAACTTGAAAGAAATATACAAAATACTACTAGAAGTTATATTTAAGTTACTGCTGGCAGTTTTCTTTTGACCTTTTTCTGAATTTCTTAATGGGCCATAATCAGTTTTTTTTCTTTTTAAACAAAACTTACAAGTTAAAAATGAAAGGAGATGTAGTTTATGTTACTGTCAGAGTTCCTTTTTTGCTATAATTATTCTGTACATGTACAGAGGTGTATGTGTCCATATGTCTGAGCTCAGCAGTCTTTGCTGTGTCTTTGGCCAAAGGCTGACTTACCATGTCATGGAAACCACATGGGGCACCTCCTAGCAGTACCCAACCACAGTACATACCGACGGAAACTAGGGCACGGATGGAAACTTCTCCCTGCGTTGTGTTGCTTTCTTTTCTTTTTATTTTATTCCTTTGCTGTGCTGAGGATCAAAGCCAGCCCCTCACACATGCTAGACAAGCACTGTACCACTGGGCTACGTCCCTAGCTCCTATTTTAATACAGATACCTTTGGGATGAGATGCAGCCTTAGCTACCAAAGGAGAGTGTGAAAAACGTAATGTGTGCCTAAACTGGCTCACACTTAGTCACAGGTTGTGTTCCTGCTGCCGTCACAGAAGGAGATGGATAGCAGAGCACATTGCCATCAACACTCTGCCTAGTGAAGACTTGGAACTGGAACCAAGTTGACAGGATCGTGAGGTAAACACGCAGTGTATTGTAACATGCCACCAGGCTGATACATGTGTGTGACCAGAATGCACAGGACATGTTTAAACAACATGAATATTATCCCATGTGATGTTATTTACTTAAATATCCTTCCATTATATCTTTCCATTCATTTTTAATATGCTAGTATTCTATAACAACTTACATCTTAAGTTCAAAAAGTATGGTGAACGTTATGCTCACTGGGTAATCCTTTTCAGTAAATTACTAATAATTTAATCCTCATAGTCTATACCTGATTTGAAGTTAAGATTCCTGTAACTACTCAGCATGAGCATTTCCCTTCAGTGCAAGGACACTTTGTTTACCTTTTAGGTATTTGTTCATAAGTTAGGTGCATATTGTTCATTGTAACATTCCCAGAAATGCCTTCCTTACCCTAATGAACTTACCGCTTTTTTCTAGCCTTGATTCTTTGCCTACCCTCATTGCAAGTGTCCCAGAATCCAGACATAATTTTTCCCCATAACCCCAAACTCCCATGGAATATGGCTTGGATGAGACTGTTTCTTGTATTCATACTGTACATGGGATCTTCACATCCATCTGCCCTCACCATAAGCACTATGTCGTGTCTGGAAAAAAGAAATTAATGTTGCTTTTAAAGAGCTGTAGACATTTTAATAAAAGTTTCTTCTCAGATCTGTATCAGTAGAAAGCATAGTCAGAGAATATAGCATTACTGTGGCATGCCTGCCTGAATACATTTCCCCACTGAGCTAAATTTCCCAGTCAACTCTGCCCACCCCCTGAGAAAGGTACCCAGAGTGGTGAGTCTAGATCAGTGATATATATATAGGTACCAGTTTCTTATCCTTAAATTATTCCCTGGTGCTATGACAAACAGGACCAAAGCTAACAGTCCAACGAGAAGTGCTTGTTTTAAACACCTAGTGTGCAATGGGGATTGCTGAAACCCCCTTCCCAGTTAGATCAGCGGAGTCCACTAATGCTTCTGCCAGAGGACCAGTGCTTGGCATAAATTCATGAGTTCTCCATGCCTTTGTGCTGGTCAGCGCCCGATAAACTGTGGCAGTGACGTGGTCTCCCTGGGGACTCACAGTCTCCTGATAAGCAGTTCCAAGAGCTCGAAGCACAGAGGCATATGGAAATTCCACTCTCATGCTTAATATACAACACACAAAATGAATTTTTCATTTTGGCTTTTTTTAAAAAATGGAAACATTCCAGCTTTTCCTCACTGGCGTGCCTTTTGGAGTTATTGACCGTTAAAGCAGCCGGGGAAGAGGGGAGCTGTAATATAAGCAGTGTGGTGTTTGCAAGGGAGAGCTGTAGGAGAGGTGATGATGATTTTGGAAGCATTATTCTGAGTGTTGAGCTGAACAAAGAGGTATTACTGCAGAAGAAATGTACCCCAAAACGCATTCTTAATGTGTTCTTAGATTTGGGCCTGGAGAACTATACTGTGAGTGGAGTGGATGATAAGTAGAGAAGAAAATAGCAAATTAAGGGGACAAATAATCAGGGGGAAAAAGAAAGGGGAGGGTTGCCTGCTGGCATCAGCAAAGAGAACATATAACTAGTGTCTGATGCATTTCCTTAAGAGTCAGTGTGTTTGCAAATTGCTCCATTGCATCTTAGCAGAAGCTAATCTGAGTAACGAAGAGCTGACTGGCGAACATAGTTGGATGAATTCCCTCAGTACTCCTGAAATATAACAGAGCAAGGAACAGTATAATGAAAAATAACAGAGAGAGTAGCTAGGGGCTTAACTTATGATCAGTGTTCATTACAATAAATGACACTTTCACTGCAGAGTTACCATAAAGATTATTGACTCTTACGTAATGTGGTTCCCATCTGAATAGATCTGAGAAAGGCTTAGCCTGGGAATGGGAGGGCTGGAGTGCGAGGAGGGTTGAGCTGCACTCCATACCTTCACTCATTTTTCCCGTTAGTCCTGGGGAGCTGCCCATTCAGGATCCTGGACAGAGCAATATTCAGTCCTTCTGGAAGACTCCCTGTCTTTGCCATTTGACTACTGTGACTGTGTGTTACAGCTCACAGGACTGTGTGGCAACCAGGCTCAGAAAGTGACTAAACTTATTGGTCGTTTCACATCTAAGGACTCTCCTTATGTTCTCTGCCTTTTGCTATTTTCCTCAAGCATACATAATACAACTTTTTTTTAATATCTCTTTGGAAAGAAACTGTGTTTTGTGTAAAACTTTGGGCAGACAACCATAAAGAATTTTGCAATTCTGTGACTTCACCCAAGTGTGGAATGGACAGCCTGGTTCTGAGCATAGTACACAGTAGCTGTGGTTTATTGAGCACCTATTGGTACCCGCTAAGTACTCTGTTATTTCCTCTCTACAACCATCCTAGGAGGTTTGTGCTGTTACTATCAATACTATTTTACAGAGGAGAGAGAACTCTCAGAGAGGCTACATAATGTGTGCAAGTTACCCAGCTGCCAGGAATTACAGATGAGTTTCAGAACAGTCTCTACCCATCTGCTTTGTATTGATTTCCACATAGGCACTGAGCTTACAAAAAGATTCCTGTTCATTCTCTCACACGCTCCTTCTCTTTCCCCCAAAAACTAGGTTATAAATCTGTCAGTTGTCCCAGAACATGGTTTCTTACTATTTGAGAGTCACTACTGCCTTCCACTTGGGGTCTTGCATCCACAGTGACATTGTGCTGGGCCAGCGAGGTGCTTCCCAGCTACCCTGTCCCCTGGCATCCGCACCTCACACTTTCACTTCCACCTCACTTTCACCAGCTGCATTTAGAATATTCTAACACCTTCCAGGAGTGTTTTGTGGGTGAGATTCTTCGATGAAACACAAGAGATTCTTGGATGCAAAGGGCTGTTGTGACAAGTTTAATCTCTTCCCTCCCTTCCCACAGCCACAGTTTTGCCTGTTTGGGACAATGACACAGAGCACTCCCGCCCAGAGTGTCTGTGTCTGGAGTCCCCACCTCCCCCAGGGCCCCGCCCAGCTTCCTTATTGGTGCCTGGAATCCCCTAATGAATCTTACAGAACAACAGACCTAATCCACGCATCTTAGTGTTAACCTTTTGGTACTTGCAGACCGAAAGTTTCTCTAAGAATCTTAAAACTTTGATTTAAAAAATAGCCATGCATGGTGGGACATGCCATTAATCCCCCACTGGGAAGCTAATGCAAGAAGAGTCTAAATTTAAGCCTAACCTGGGCCACTCAGAAACTTAACAAGACTCTTGTCTCAAATTTTTTTTAAAAACTTATTTTTCCATAAGACTCAAAATATAATAATTAAAAGGAAAGTGGAATCCTATAATACATTTACTACTGGGCTGCCACAGATACCTTCTCTGTGGTTCCTTGTGTTGGGGGTGACTTATCCCTGGATACCACTTTTCTGGACAACAGCACATCCCTTCACCTGGACTGCTGGACTGCTCTCCTTCTTTGTGTCTCAGGCCAGTATTTCAAATCTTGGGATCTCAAGTAGAGAATGAGCACAGATTGACTTATCTGTCTTGTCACAGAGAAGGCATTCGCCCTCACAGAGCGGGTATTTGGCATTGCCAGGAAAATAGCAAAAGGCACCAGGTGCCTGTTGTTGCTTGTTTGCCCAAGGAGAGTCTTGTGGATGAAGCACCATGTGGGTTGCAGACAGCTGGAGGTTTTCTGGTTTTGATTTCTTAGCCTGTTCTGGGTATTTTGTTTTGTTTCCTTCCTTGCTCCATATGTAAAATGTGATTCACCTCATCAGAAATCCTTGGATAGTAGAGGAAAAGAACACTAATCAATGCTGTCTAAAATGTCAGACACCGTACCCCACCCTAAACAGAGTGGAGGAGGAACCCTAGAGCTGTGAGCCCTCTGAGGTTTCATTTATCATAATTGCGCTGCAGGTCTCAGAGATAAAGTGTGTAAGCTCCACTTAGATGCCCAACTCAGACTGGCCAAAGTCCATGCCCCTTAGTGCTTTGGCAGTGGGTTTTGGGTGCAGTACCATGGAACACCCCATTGTGTGGTGTCTGCCAGGAGTGACGGTGTATGACATCATCACTCATGCACGATAGCTTCTACCTCCTTGCAAATCCAGAGACCTCCTTTTCTCTTGAAAAACATGGAGCATGTTTAATGGTCTACTTCCAAAACCTTCAGAGTCCCAGGTCAGTATTCTTGGCCCTGGACTCTGACATCGATAGCCTTGTGCTTCTGTTGATTGAGATGTCCGGCCTTCTGTTGACTTAGCTGTGTTTCCCCCACTGTGGTCAACTCACTGGAAAGGAAGGACGCTGTCATGAGCAGAGTTCATGCCACCAGCCATGAAGAGGAGGGGGAGGAGAAGGAGGAGAAGGAGACGATGGCACAGTAGTGATGCATTAGTAACACTAATATTCTCTGTATGCTTTTGCCATTTGTTCTTATCTTAAAAACAAGAAAGAGAGAAAGGAAAGGCTTCTTTTTGATACCAGTATTCCTAGTTATGTGACAGCTGATCTGTAATTGTAGTATCATTTACAGCTACAGCCATCAGACAGATGTGGACCCTGGGCAGTTTCATTTGTGGGCATTGCCTTGGATCCCGATCAGGTAATACTTAGCAAGTGCTGTGGAAGCCTGTTGTGTAAACCTGAGTGTGTAGCGACTGTTACACGAGTTGCTGTTGTGAAGGCTCCCTCAGTGACTTCAGAGGTCAGGATCTTCACTGAGCTGCTCATGAAGGAACCTTGTATGGCCATATGGAAGTCTTCCCATGAAGACACAAGTCCATTCTCATTTTTACTGTGTGCGCCCAGAGCAAAGGGAAAGCAATCATTACTTTTATCATGTTTTTATAAAGGAATTCTCTTTCATAAAAACTATTTTCGACTTGTCCTTACTAACAATGGACAGGACTAATATTTGCTAAAAGAACATTGTGCCATAAAAGAATTCAGCCAAAGCCCCTGGTCCAAGGAGGGAGAGGGAATCTCCCAAGAAGATGAAGTCTGGGCCTCCCACAGAGTAGCGTGGTGGCCTTTTTATTCCTGTCATCTGCTCCCCCATTCTGCCTTACCTCTGTCCTTTAGCCCGGAAATCCTGTAACACACTGAGGAGAGTAAGAAAGTGATATTGGGCCAAGTGTGGTGGCACATGCTAGTAATCCCAGCACCCTGGAGGCTGAGGCATGAAGGATCACTATGAATTCAAGGCCAGCTTGGGCTACATAATGAGACCCTTTCTCAAAAAATTGGAAAAAAACATGATATAGAAGCCAGGAATTTGTGACAAGATAACTACCCCCAACACCTCACCCTGCCCTGCACAGTACACATTCAATAGAGGGCTCCCAATGGGCAATCTCCCTGGGGTTGGAATCAAGGACGTGAAGAAATAAACTTTAATGGAGACTCTCATTAAGGTCATGTGTATTGGATGACTGTTGTGTGCCAAGCCCTGGATCTAGAAAACCAACAGTGATTTCCACTTGTCCTTGTACCAGAGTCGGCACATCCTAGTAAATGCAATGATGCAAGCTTTCATTCATTCAGTTAGTCAACAAACATTTATAGCATACTTGAGACAGAGAGCACTGAAGAAAACAGACAAGCTGCCTGCTCTGTAGGAACTAATCTTTTATTAGGAGAGACAGGAAACAATACTAATTAATAAACAATAATTATTGTAACACATGATATCAAGGAGATTAATATGGTTGGAGATGTGGGCTCAGAAGACTGGGTAGGGAAATTCACATTTGAAATTAGCACTCAGCATGCCCTTTGGTTGTAGGGAACACAAAGCCTAAGAGTCAGCATTATCTGATGGTTTTATGAAAATAATCCAGCCATACAATGGACCCCAGGCATGTCATGATAAAATGACCCACACAGTATCCCTGGATTCTGTCTTTCAGTCCTTTGCCTATGCTGGTTTCTGTCCTGGGTTGAGTCTTGTCACACAGTTCATGGTGATTCCTGTCATTCTTAGTTAAGTAAAAGAGAAGGAAAGTACTTTTTTCTCCAGCTGTTATAGCTAAAGTCCTAAGCCTGTTGCTCTCCTAGGCCATATGCTTGTGTGTGAACAAGGGCTGTAGCCAGGGGAGGGTACATCCCAGGTGCTTAACGCTGAGTCATGAATTGCATGACACAAGGCCAGGGGCAGCAGCTTCAGATTCTGGAGTCCAAGGACTGACTCTTATCCACAGCATTGGAGCTGTTGGTATCTCCGCTCCTCCACCTGTAAAGTAGGATTGGTGCCAGGGCCCAGTTCAAGGAGAAGAACAGAGGGAGGAGTGGGGACCCACATCAGAACTGGGTGAGGGTCTAGGGTAGGGACAGGGAGGCGAATGACGCTGGGATGGAGTAGAGATAGCCAGAGAATAAACCATGCAGTCCACGTTTGGGTCCACATTTGCAGGGTAGGACTGATGCCAGCATTCTGGCAATATCACCCTGCCCACGGCATGCACAGAATTCATAACCTGCTCATCCTCACTACCTTTCTTCGCCACCTGCATTTCCCCCACTCTTTCCGTTGCTAACCAGCTCCCCTCTGATGGAAAGATTCCTTCTCCAGCTTTGTGAGTAGCCTTGGTGTGGTTATAGCCATGCCTGCCAGCCCAGGAATCATAGTGTGTTATTCGAGTGGTTTACTGTGTTTTGACTTTGATCCATTTTGTGCCAATTTAAGCATTTAACGTGCAGAAGACAATCTTAATTTCCTGTATATTCATGTTTTCAGGTGGTCATATAATATGGATAAAATATAATAATCTGTGATGATATAGGGTAGCATTCAGGTATACATGCTAAGAGGTTGATTAGAAAATTACTATGTTTGTAACTTGGCTTACTAGTTAATGAATTTTCATAGTAGTGGTTTTTAAGAATATTTTTAGTGGGATAAATTTACCTATAAATAAGTAATTCCTTGCTTTCTTTTTCATATTTATAAGCAGGCTTGTATATCTGTGTGTGTATTACAAACATACAGACATACGCACCCAAATAGATCCTTTCAATCAGTACAGATACCATTTGCTAAAATAATTCTTCCACAAAGAAATATTCATTCCAGGTATGGAGGCAGTTTGTTTGAGAAACTTACCAGTGCCCTTGGACCTGTTTCCTTTTGCCTTTGAGTTTATTCTGGAAATTGCAACATTTAGCACTTTGCAGTTTAATTTAAAAGGATTACCTATTTTCTTAAATGCTTAAGCAGGGAAGCAGGCTGCAGTTATTGATTTTTGTCTGCATGTCTTCCACAAGAGCTGGATTCGCTGTTTCCCCAGGGAACATACCTCCTGAACTGCATGCCTGCTGGTGACAGCTTGGACCTCTGATACATAACCGGAGACCTTGCCTAATATCTTTGCAACTGCTTGGGGAATTTTTATTAAGTAAAAGCATCATTAGAGTAGACAGGATGATGAAGTTTAATGAGCATCTTTTGTGCATGATACTGTTAGTTTTTCTCTGCCAGAATTCTCATTTCTCCTCTCTTGCGGAGCAGTGAGCAAGTCTGGAATGTATAACGTGTGTTTAGAACAACCTTGTATTTTATATTTTTATATAGCTTAATACTGTGTTTATTCAGCTGCACGCTCCTTTTGGCTATTTTTATAGATACCACGTGCACATGTATGTCTGCACTCTCTGTGCACATTGAGAACTGAGAACGGAAGGATTATGATGGAAGACTGACAGACCATACCACCGCTACTGAATGGTGTGGAACTGTCTCTTGGAACTTTGGTCTCAAAAAAAAAAAAAAAAAAAAAAAATCATTGCCTTTTGAATTAGTTGGATTCCTCATAGGACTAGGATAACTAAATTTTTTTCTTTAAGACTCAGCAATTTATGTGCTAAGGTTCTGTCATCAGCTCCTCGTTGCTGCTAGATATAGGACAAAAGATATTGCAAATACTTATTAATACTCTTAAGTTTCACACTTTGTCCACAGATTTATTTGCAGGGATTTTAAATTTAGCATCCTACCATAAGATTACAGACTATAAGCAGAATTATTTCTCTCCATTATTTCTGCTAGCCATCTACTTAGATTTTAAAATGGGTTCTTTTCTTGGTCTGTATAAGGACTTGCTATGGAAACCCCCAAAACAACAGTAGGGAGGCATACGACATGAACAAATGACTTCAGAACAGCATATTGTACCTCTCATATACCTGGCATTCTAAAACACAATATTTACATAGCATACAATGTGTTCCTAGCAGTGCCTTGAGTGTATGGACTACAGAGAAGTCAAGCCTGTACTTCCTGCTCTTATTAAGAAAGCAAAACTGAGACATCCAGTGAAGGTGCCTGACAAGACAATTCAGTCAAGTTTGAGCAATTGCTTGGGTTTGACCCAGAACTAAAATTGCAAAGCACCATTTTACTCCTTTGAAAAAGAAAGATTTTAATGGGACCTAGCTCACTGGATCATTGTGGCACTGAATAGTAACTGTGTAGTAGTGCCAGTGTAGATACTGTGTTACAACCAAGGTGTTCTGATGTTTTGAGATAATGAGCCAACCATAAGCATCACTCTGTATATCATCAAGGACTTAATGGGGAGATCCTGACTAATCAGATGATGCTTAGTAAAAGTTAGGGCTGGGTTGGAAAAAGTAATGAAGATCTCAAATCTTCAAAATATGAATGGGGTCTGAATTATAGAAAGGACCCAGCCAGGCATTCCAGCCAATAATAATGCAGATCAGCCAAAAAGCAAAAACACAAATACAAGGTCGTGAGTTCAATCCCTGGTACAAAAGCAAACAAAAAAAAAACACACCTAAGGCTGCTGGCTGGAAATGTTAATCCCAGGCTTCAGACTGAGTTAGCACTTTTTTATGCTTTCAAAGCACTCTAAGGAACCCATGCCAGTCTGATTGCCAGCAAAGTTAAGTGTGTGCAAGTTACTCCCATTTTCTAGCTGAGATACCAGAGTTTCTGGAAAGACATAATACTTGATGTTACCTCATGGGAGACAGAACTCACACTGGATTCTCCTTTCCTACTCTCTGCACTGCCTGCCTCCGAACCAATCGTGTTTCACAAGTGCTGTTAGTGCACAGGAGAGAGGAAGTGGGAAGCTGGACCCAGGTCACACATGCTATGGCTGCTCTGTGCAAGGTACTAAGGCTACATGGTCAATCTAGGGGACACTGGGTCCTCTTCCCTACTCATACAGCCAAGAGAGATTGTTCTAATAGTTGAGTGCAGGACACATCAGAGGAGACTAAGTAGCAGCGTCAAGGAGACCAACCAAGGAACCATTGTCGTAAGCTAATGGCCACATGACAGAAGAAGGAGGAAAAGAAGAACGTGCACACTCAAAAGGATGATGGAAATCAGAATAATCTGAGTACCTTAAAGTATCTAACTGACTCACTGAGTTATGAATCTTTTGAAAAACTGATGAAAGCCACAGCTCTTTAAGATGAAATACGTACACACACAGCTTTGCCTACAGTTTCAGACGGTTCCATGGACCTACCCTAAGAATTGCTGCTACAGAGGAAACTTCTATCAGATTTGACTAATATGACAGATATCAACATGATGCCAACATTTGATCCTGATGGTTTGGAGATATGGTGGACACTGCGGGAGGGGAGTACCTCCTGCTTAGCTGGGTTTTATGGCTGAATCTCTAAGTGGACAGTAGGGGATGGTGACTTACAGAACTGCTGCTCATAGATAATCACCGTCACTACAAAATTAGATAATCCTAGAGCCAGGGATGAGGTTCAGTGACACGTCGCCTGCCTGGCAAGTGCAAGGTCATGAGTTCGATTCTCAGACCCCCCCCCCCAAAAAAGATGATCTTTCTGGGGAAGAGAATACAGAGAAAAATCAGGGATACATGGTCTGAAGAGGTCTCCAGAGAGATAGGAAGAGCAAAGATAGTGCCCTGTGTCCAAAAGAGGAAATTATTGAGGGGTTGGGTAGCCTGTGGTGGTCTGTATTGCTACAGAAGAAGAAAGAGTTGATGGTCAGTACCAGAGCCCTGCATCCAGCAGAAACAATAAAATTCATGGATTTTTCCAAAACAAAAAGTGCCTATAGTAAATAAAGCATATGAGTAAGTGAAAACCATTCTTATCACAGTGCTTAATAAATGTATTGGTTGCTAAATCAACTTAGTTTATGGTGGGCTGGGATTTTCTTCTACTCGGCAATTTTTGATTCAACCAGCAATGGTCATCAGATGCATGGAGCTTCAAGTGGCCCCATCTGCAGTCTGCTTTAATACTACGCATCTAAAGTGATCTGCTTGGTGACCCACGCAATCCAGAATCATTTTGCAGTGTTTCCTCCAGTGATGGTCTTTCCCAGGGCTTCTTCAGTCAGTAGCTCAGACAGGGCCCAGTGCCACATTTGCCCTTGGCCTTTGCAGCCAGCAATGAGGGCCCTTGTGAGCCTGAGCACGGCTGGCTTCTCTTCTCCCCAGGCCAGGAGCATCTACAGGCACCTCGCCTTTGAAATCATCTTTGGCAACAGAAGCCTGTTCATCAGACTCCTGAAAATGATGCATCCTTTCCTGTTGCTTTGAAGTGCTCTTTGTTGGTTTTTCCCGTTCTTTAATCATATCCCAATTATCCTCTAGAAACCTCAAAATTCAGAGGAGAAGAGATTTTTCTAGGGCTCTGTGCAAAAGTCCTCTTTACTTTTTGGGCTGAGCACTTTACTCACCAGTGGCTGTAGGTTCACAGGTGCCCTTGCATCAAGGTCCCTCTGTCAACTCTCAAGCTGACTTTACCAGGTGGCACTGCTAGCCAGAGCCCTTCTACCAAGCACATGGTCACAGTGCAGGTTCCAGGCAGCAGAACCTGTGAAGTGAAAGAACCTGGCCAGATGACTTGTATCACAGTGCCTCCTAAGAGCCATTGTGTAACATCTAGTGTGAGCCACGTGGGCACAACCATTTCTGTGTCTAATTTGATCTTTGCTCATGCCTTCCAGAGTAGCTGACAGTTTTCACCTTCATTTAGCAGATTGGATATCAGACTGGCAAGTCAGTGGCATTCCCAAGTCCACATGGCATCAGGACTGAGTAGGGTGTGGAATAAAGAAATGAGCAAAGCCTGAACTGTTCTCCAGGAATCCCCAGTTAAAAGGTGCCATGAGATGTGACAGCTGCCACAGAGAACAGAGAGCAGAGGGGACATGCCCTCTGGGAAAGGACAGGGGTAGCAGGGGCTGAGGAATGGTTGAAGCTTGCCCAAGTGCAGGGACAGAAAAAACAGGCAAGATTCACTAAAGTCCTAAGAGAAAATCACACATCAGGTGAGGAGGCAATTGGATGATCAGGAGGAAAGCTGTACTGGTCATATTGTTTCCTGTATTGTCTGATGCTTTAGCATCTTAGAGTCCTAGACCACCATTGCCAGGGGCACTAACTCCTTCTCTGCATTATCACTCAGCTGTTTCCATGAAAGGAAACTCAGATGCAGTCAAAACGTGTCACTAGCAGTAGATGGGGGACAGAGACTGTCCTGTCTGTCACAGAGAGGGTCAGTTTGCCTGCTTGGTGGGAAGAGTACCCCATTCTGTCTTTAGGGGACACCTTGCCCCTCCACAAACTTGATTAACTTCTCAGTGATCTGCTGCCCTAGGAACCAACTTTTATTCTTGATGAAAGGAAGCAGAATCCTCATGCTTGCAAACGCCTCCCAGTCAGGCCTACAGAGGTGGTATTTAGCCTGGCAGTTCCATTTCGCTGCTCCAACTAATCACTGCTTATTTACAAACGTAGTAGCTGGAAACAAAAAAAATGTGTTGTTTTACAGTTGTGGACATCAGAAGTCTGGAGTCAGGGTCCGTGTAGCGTTGCATCCACCCGGAGACTGTCCCGGGCTGGCCTTCCCTTCTTCACTTCAGAGTCTGCCTGCACCACTTGGCTCTTTCTTCCTCCATCTCCCAGCCAGCAGCCTTCCTCCTTCCTGAAAGAACCTTTTTCTTTCTTTCTTTCTTTCTTTCTTTCTTTCTTTCTTTCTTTCTTTCTTTCTTTCTTTCTTTCTTTCAATTACTGGGGATCAAAAGTAGGGCCTTCCCACCAACCTACATTTTCAGCTCTTTGTATGTATGTATTTTATTTTATTTTATTTTATTTTATTTTAAGAGAAGCTATAAATTGCCCAGGATGGGCTCGAACTTTTAATCTTCCCTCAGCGTCTGAGTGCTGGATAGGAGTGCTTTTCGATGACATTTGGTTCACCCTAAAGCCCAAGATTGTATTTCCAGCTCACAGTCCTTAACTTCTTCCCACCTGCAGGGCCATTTGGGCCATGTGAAATGACAAATTCAGGAGTGTGGAGGCTTAGGACGTGGCCCTCCCTCGAGGCCACTGATCTGCCTGCTATACTTAGTTACCATATTGAGACCCTTGGCTAATTACTGGGGGAGCCGGGAATGGAACTCGAGACTTTGGACCCTGAAATGCATCTAGTTGCTCCCCTGCCCCAGCCCTGTCCCTATGTGGGAGTCCCCATGCCCCAGCCCTCACCCCATGTTCCCCAGCCCAGGGAAAGGCTGACTCTCATCTGCCCACACAGCTGAAGGAGTTACAGGATGTCACAGTGGACCTGTGTCCTCCAGTCCTGCTGATGAGTCACCGAGGAAGTGGGGCAATGCATTTAGCTAGGTCAGCCTTAGTTGCTCTCTTCAAAGAGGATTAAAACCTTTCTTCTAGAGGTGTGTGGGGATTTAACATAGACAGAAAATACCGTGTTCTTTTCAGAGGAAAAAGCCCTAAAGAAATTAGGTAATCGTGTAAGTACTTTTATTTAATCACTCTTGAGTATGTAATCACATCAGCCCTTCTCTTCAAAAGCTTGTGATGATGGTTTCTAATAGACTTGCCACAGTGCCAGGCTTATTAGTCCACCTTGCTAGGAAAAGGACATCCTTATATGACAGAAGAAAAAACTGAGGCACAGTGGGGTTGGGAGAGAGGAAAGTTGCTGATCATTTGCCCAGAACCAGAGACTGCAAGTGTCAAAACTCACATTTAAATATCCATGGTTGCAGTCTCTGCCTGGCCCTTTGTATGACTTGCTGGTTTGCCCAGGAAATCCAGACATATACAATGGAGTCTGAATATAAAAGACAGTAACTAAAATATCAGAACATCCCAGATCCCCCCTTCATGGAAGCAGAGCCCAAGGCCAAGCAGCTTTTGCACCCCATTCTAAAATGACTGAATCTGCCCCCACCCCAAGGCTAGCTACCTGCTTTGGAAGCCTCCTGCTCAGCATGGCTCCCTGCTCCTCCAGAATGCAGTACAGATCAGGCCTTAGCAGCTGCAACTTCTGCCTCCCTCAGCCCTCCCCTTTCCTAGCACCCACATTTCCAAGTTTTCAGGTGCATGAACTGTGGTGCTGTATTTCTGTAGATTGTTATCATCTTTCTTTAAACATTTTTTTTAATCGGTACCGGGGATCGAACTCACGACCACCTGCTTGCAAGGCAGGTGCTTATGCTGCTGAGCTAAATCTCCAGCCCCTGATTGTTATAATCTTTAAAGTTCAATGTTGTCTATTTCTTTTTCCTTTCCTGGAATGAGGTGGGAAAATAGAGGAAAGATATAAAAGAAGCTGTAAGAGGGCTGTGACTGAGACCATAGGTGCCTGAGCACAGAACACAAACAGACCTTCCCTTTGTGCCAGGTGACACAGGCATAAACAGTCTCCAGGGAATGTCCCACTGCAGCTTGAAGCCCCCAAGCATGGAGCTCATGACTTGCGTAAGCAAAGCTGCATTCCAGGAAGAAAGGACCAGAGGATCCTTAAGGGCAGGGTGTTTCTGAGTGTGTTGATTAAGGAAGGAAATACAGTTGATGGCTCCACCGGAGCTCAGGGTTTCTTCTACCTCTTTGGTTTATCCAGAGAGATGCTGGTAAGGAAGTGGCATAATTTGGGGCCAACCAGATGATACAGGATGATCTTCACTTCTCAAGCCATTCGATATACATCCTCACAGGTTTTTGAGGATTAGAAATATACAGTTTTAGGAAACCAAGTGGTATCACAGGTAATGTGGGACTTGCTTTCTTCTCATCCTCTCCATTAAGGATCACAGAGCTCTCCAAACTGCTGGTTCCTACAGAGCTTGAAAGCCCGTGCGCATGCTCTCGTGTTACCTTCCAGCACTGATAGTACCTTCTTGACCCAAGAGACCAAACAACTCTCCCCTGTAGCTGCAGAGCAATCCCAGCACCTGGCTAGAGACTCCTTCTCTGGCTCCTAAATCCATTTCCTTCCGCCTCCAGACTCTTCCCTCCTCACTCCTTGCCCTTGCCCTTCATCACCACCTCCCGGGGGGCCTGCTAGTACCACTTCTAAGAAAATACTTGGAAGACTCCAGGGGAGAGCATATACCATGACCTAACAAAAGCCTGAGGTGCAACCTTCTCTCTCCACAGTCACAGTCAAGTCCAAGTCTAAGTCTAAGTCAAGTCTAAGTCTTCCCTTAAGCCTGCCAACCATGGCATTGGTGTCATCAAGAGCACCAGTGCATGCTAAAGAGTGCTACACTGTGTGTGGCCACAGAATGCCAGTGTAAAGAATGAATGAGATTCCTTGTGTGAACCTTAGAAACAGTGTGGTCAGGAGACCAGTCTCTGTACCAGCGTCCCATCTCTGTAAACCAGCTGCAGGTGACAATCAGCAGATGCCTCTTCTTGTAGAAATTGAAACTGAGACACTCATGAGGCTCTCTGAGAGACACAGTTATATCAATAAGGGGAGTTAAGGTTAAGCTGTATTTATTTTAGGGTGGCTTTTAATTTTGTTTAATCAGAATTACTCATAAATTATGGATTAATTACTATCTGGTGCTCCCTTAAATCCCCTCAGCCGTGGAGCCAGCTTCTCTCTGTAGTGAATGCCATCCGCTGTAATTGTAGGGCACTTTGTCAACATTTAATCAGCAGTCCTTATTAATGTGGCATTGATGTGTTGTTGCCATCCCTGCAGCATCAATCACGCATGAGCAGCCAGCACAGACTCGGACCCCATTGTTCTTTGTCACATTAGCCAGCCCCGGGGCTGCCAGGCCAGGCATGATGGTTGCTTGTCACAAGATGGACATTCTGTCTCTTCTCCCCAAACCACTTTTTGTCGTGTGTCAACTTAAACACTTAAGGCCTTTGGAACATTAGTCTGAAAGGGCTTCCTGAACATTACCTGTGTCCAGAATCTAGAAGACTTCCTCCTGTTCTGTTTCCACACCCTGCCCAGTGAGTGGGAAATTCTAGGTTAGTCCGCTATGGAACATGCATACGGGTTTGTGAGCTTGTGCAAGACAATCTTAACTCTTCTGTGGTGGTAGGTATCAAGTTAGGGCTTCACAAAGCTAGGCAAATGTGCTACCACTGAGCTCTGTCTCCAGCCTTTTAAATTCTTAAATATAGTAAAAGAAGTGACCTTTGAAAGATTATTTTTGGTTTATTGACTACTTCTAGAGATTAATCTGTTCCTTACAGTTCTTCCAGTAGAAATTCGGGTTGGGAAAAGAGGTCTCATGGTTTCCTCTTTCTCTTTTCAGCCTGTACGGCAGACACATGCAGGCAAACCCAGAACCCCCGAAGAAGAATAATGACAAATCGAAAAAGATCAGCCGGAAACCTCTGGCAGCCAAGAACAAATGAGGGGCTGGCATGTGCCGGGCTTCTGGACTGTTCTCGGACTAGCTCTCCTGACCTCTCTTGCTCTTTCTCACGAATAAATACAGAGTTCTTGTGGCCTTTTAAAACATTTCCTTTCACTCTCCCCATGTAGTTCTTACCAGCTTACCTTTTAAATTCTTTTGGTAGGTGGTAGATTTTTATACGGTGTTAAAGCCATTTCCATTTGTTCCCTTATAATTGCCAGGGGCAGAAAACAGAGCTCTAATTCAGCTGCCGATTCCATAGTAGGCACAGGTTTCAGTGCCTTGAATAGACATCACATGCGTGCTTATTATCAAAAGAATAATTAAAATCATGTAACCACTTAAATGTCACAGTTAACACTTTTCATTCTTTCTGTTTATTCACACAACTCATTATTTTGCCTTATTAAAAAGTCTTCCTTCACCGCCGAGCTGTTATGTTCACTTAGCTTACAAATGATTTTAATAATGTCTTGAATTTGTATCACATGATGCTTTTTGACTAGAATAAAGAATAATCAGATTTTAGGGCGTACACATTTTTGTTTACTGTTTTCGCCTCCCAAAATTACCTTCTCTAATTTTACTGGTTGCAGATGATAAACTCAAACTTTCCATGAAACAAATTCAAGATTAAATTAGAGTTAGTTTCTTCTCAAATCAATTTGTCAGGGGTTTTATATTTTTTTTTTCTTTCTTTGAAGACTGCTTCTAAAATTAGGAAGCTGCAGAAAAACAAATCTCTAGGAGATTCTGCCAAAGAATTTTGGAAAGCAGCATTCCTTTGCTGAAGAAGTGGTGACTTCTGCCAGTGGCTGGTAGACGAGAGCTGTGAAACGGAGGGAGGAAAAACTCAAGTATGTGTTTTGTCATTGCAGAAAATCTGCTCGTACTGAAGTGTTCTTCTAAGAGACTTTAATGCCAGTGAAGTTGTATCTGTGCACAGTCTACACCACAGCCTGTGTGGAAACTGCCTTGGCCAAGTCACTAAACAACCAATTATTTCACATCTGTGATAGGCAGTTTTTCTTCTTACCAACATTAGCATTATGGAAATGAAAATAAATCCAAGTGGATGCTTTGTGCTGGGAGGGCTGCCAACCCCTGATCACTTCCCGAGAAAAGGTGTGCAAATATACAGCAGCATCCAAATGGACTATGGCGCGTGACCTACCTGTCTGTCTTGGGTGTCTTGCATGTCTTGCAAGTTCTCACATACACTCTCAGCACCAAGACCACTAGGATGCTAAAAACCAGAATCAAAACAAAACATTAGCATTAGCATGTGGACTTTCAGTTTCATTGGCCTTTGTATTTCAGTTTCCTGCCTCTGGATAACTTCTATCAGTTGCCAAGAAATTAGCGCTCCTGGTGCCGTCACCTATTTTGAGTGTAGACTTGGTACCGTTTTCAGAGACGTGATACTCTATTGGCCTTCACTTACATTTTCTAAATTCATGTAAGAGCTTACAAAATTGCAGGAAGAACAACAATGGCTCCACAGTGGTTGAATGGAAAGATTTAACTACAACTACCAGTAAAGTACTAGTAAAATCAACAACATAAGGGCTTATTAAGTAAATTCTTCTACAGCATTCCAGTGGAAATATGGGCAGTACATATGAACTCACAATGAAGAGATATCTCAAGAAATGGGAAAAAGGAGGAGCAAATACTCACAACTAATAAAAAACAAAAATACAAATAACCACAAATGGGAGCAATGAAACACACAGCTATTGCTCGAGGCATATTTAGTGTCGGAGGAGAAATGTGAGGTACACGTTCTTGAACGTAGCAATGGGGAATAGAAGTTTCTCTCCTGCCAGGCGGCAGCAGTTTGATAACGGGGGCCCAAACCTGAAAAATGTATGCTAGGATCCAGGATTTTTATTTGTAATTACAGATGTCATCCTAACACACAAAGCGCTCTGTGAGAATTGTCTTCATGGCATTGTGTACAAAGTGAAAATGTAGGGAAAATCTTGACGCCCACTAGTGGAAGAGTGGTCCAGTGAACTGTGGCTTTACTGTCCTGAGGATGTTAAAAATGGTTGCGCAGTCTGAGGGCAAAGGGAAATGTTTATATCATTCAGGTAAGTTAAAAAAACTCTTGAGAACCACATCATTTTTATCCTTTTTTTCTGTTTTGCTTAAAAGAAAAAGCATGATGGCCCAGTTGTGCAAAATGGGAACTGTATTTAAACTGTTTATATATAAAAATATTAAATTAAATTAAAACCATTTTAAGACTGATAAATTATTTTTTCATGCTAAACTTTTTCTAATTGTCTTTTTATACTTACTGTATACTTTAAATTTTCTGTAATGAGCATGTACACTTTTGTAATCAGAAGCATTAAATACAGGGTTTTTTCCAAAATGAAATTAGCATTGTATATTGTGTAATTCAGAATAGAAGATCATATATTTAAATTCAAGGCATAATGTGAAATATTTGGTTGGCTTTTTTTCTTTTGTTGTTAAAATAGGTTTCTCACATCTTTTTCTCCAGTGTTTTCTAGTTACTTTATATCTGAATTAACAAAAAAAAATCATAGTTCAGAAGGTAGTCTTTGAAGTGAACATCTTGTGACCTTTCCAGCACAGCTCTGAAGTCTCTTGTGCCGTATCTTGTCCCTGAATCTCAAGGCACCTGTGCTGGTCAGCCTCCCATTCACTGACAAAATACCCAAGGTCAATTCAAAGGAGAAAAAGCTTACTTCAGCTCACAGTGGTGAAGGTTTTAATCAGAGTTGCTTGGCCCTGCAGTTTTGGGCCTGTGATGGCACAGTGAGTGCACCGTGATGGGACTGCGTATCACAGGAGGCCAGCTCACCTCATAGTGGCCTAAAGATTCCGGGACTGCCTGAAAGCACCCAAATCTGGAGACAAAGCCTTCAGCACCTGGGCTAGAAGGGCCATTCAACATCCAAATCAAGACTTCTGCAGTCCAGTGTAGTCCAGTGCTTGAGAGCCTGGGTGGGAAGCGGAGATATTTTTTTATTCCTTGAGGAAAATATCTTTCTCAGTGTTTCTCCTTTTTACGTGAAACACTGACCTTGCCCACACGGCTGAGTATCTTAGAGGTGGTATACAAAATACTTTGTGCTTATAATTACATTTGGTTTTGGATAGGGCAGGTTGCTTGACAGTAAATTTTATAATGGTTCTGAGATCTAGGAGAAGAGCATTTCTGTTTATTTTCTAGCAGTTATATGTTCTATTTATGACTATTGATTTGGCTTTTGTTTTAATAAAGATGGGAACAAGTAGAAAAATGGGAAACTAGGGAGAGACATGGTTTAAAATGTTTTTGGTTTTCGTGTTTTCTTCCTCCAAGATTGCTCCGACTTACTATGTGTTTTGAATCTGAGCAGGTGCTGTAGTATGCAGGGTTATTTGATCACAGAACCATTTGCTTACAAAGCAATGTGGCCCTTGTAACCTGAAGAACTTGCATTAGGAAAAACTCTAGAATCAAGCAGCTGGACTTGATTCACACCAGATTCACTCACTGGAATGGAAGCTGCTTGGACACCACATGGGAAAGGTGACTCCTCACTTTAATAGGTGGGGATAAATAGAGGATGAAAATCAGATGAACCCCGAGATAAGTGGGCATGAAGAGTACAGAATAGAAATTGATACTTTTGTATTTTTACGTAAACAATGTACTTAATACTCATATTAAATTGCAGAGTTAATTTTCTGTCTCTTTGTTTGTTTGAGACAGGATCTCAATATATAGTCCAGGCGGGCCATAAACTCACTGCAATCCTCCTGCCTCAGTCTTCCCAAGTGCTGGAATTACAGGCACAAAGTTAATTTTCTAACAAAGCTTCGTAATCATAATTTTCTGAATGTACCAGTTAAAAACTCTCTAAGCTATATATTCAAAATACAGCTGGAACTAAAGACCTTCACTGTCTACTACCCTGGTCCAGGTCAACCCCAGATCTTACCTGGATTATTGAAATGTCCTCCAATGGGGCACCCACTTTCATTCTTACCCTGTTGTGATCTGCTTAAAAGGACATCTCTGCTCATAACCTTCACTAGCGCCTCGTCTGCTTTCTCAGTGTCAAAGCCCAGTCACTATGGTTTAGAGTCCTGCAGGCTGTGGTTCTCTTCCTCTCACCTGCTTTTCTCCTTTCTTGCTCTGTACCAGCCATGTGGACCTCCAGGCTCTTCCCTTCTCAGGGCTTCTGGAATGTTCTCCCAAATATAACTCCCTCACCAACGTTAAATCTTTGTTAAAAAGTCACTTTCTCAATGCATTGATCTCATAAATTGCAGTTTCCTTTGCTTATTCCCTGTCTCAAGCTTGGAAGCCAGATATCATCATCACTAGGGTGTATATATATAAAATAGCTAAGATGTGAGGAAAAGAATCAGCAGACTTGAGCCTAGAGGCCAGACCCGATCCACAGCTGTTTGTGTAAAGACAGCTTTATTGGTACACAGCGGTATCCTTTCATTTACATGTTTTGTATGTTTATTTTTGTGCAATCACAGCAGAGCTATCTGGTTGTAACAAACTATAGTGTCACAAAGCCCAAAAGATCTACAGAAAAACTACCAATTATTTTGTTGCTATTATATATACCAACACCTAGCATGTTACCTGATATACAGTAATAAATAAATATTTGTCTAATTGAATTAAATATCATTGTTAATTAGGTAATATAAAGCTAATGTTAAGGAAATAGTGAAGGGAAAAATCCATACACATCCCTTTAAGACTTTTTGCTTCGTAACTGAGTCTACTTTACCAAAATCAACTTCCTCTAGAAGAAAAATATTTAAATATTTTTATAGGTGGGAGTTTATTCAACCCTCCAAGGTTCAAACAAACTTTTAGCCTAACATTGGTTTCTTTTACAATAATCCAGTTGCTGGACACTTGGTGCTTTAAATTTTTCCTCAACAATTTTGTATGGCTCAGACCCAAAGAA